CCTTAGATTTGGCTAGTGGGTTCCATCAAATTCAAATGAATGAAAAAGACATTGAAAAAACGGCATTTAGTACAGAAAATGGCCATTTCGAGTTTCTCAGAATGCCCTTCGGTTTATCCAATGTCCCCGCCACATTCCAGAGGGTCATGGATGGCATCCTACGAGGAATCCAAAACGAGAAGTGCCTAGTTTACCTTGATGACATTATAGTCTTCTCGTCATCATTACAGGAACACTTGGAGCGATTAGAAACCTTATTCCAAAGATTGAGAGAAACGAATTTTAAGATCCAATTAGATAAGAGCGAGTTTCTAAGGCACGAAGTAGCCTACTTAGGACACATTATAACACCTGAAGGAGTACGTCCTAACCCAGATAAAGTCAACGCAATCAAAAACTATCCCATACCAAAAACAACGAAGCAAATAAAAGGATTTCTTGGACTATTAGGTTATTATCGACGCTTCATAAACAATTTTGCAAAATTAACAAAACCACTAACCAAATGTTTGAAAAAGGAAGCCAAGATTGAACATAACCCAGAGTTCATTGACTGTTTCGAAAAATGTAAAAAACTATTGACAAATGAACCGATATTACAGTACTCGGACTTTTCTAAAACTTTTAATTTGACTTGTGACGCTAGCAACGTAGCGCTAGGCGCAGTACTGTCGCAAGGGCCCATAGGTCAATAGCATACGCATCCCGTACATTGAACGACTCGGAACAAAACTACTCTACCATTGAGAAGGAATGTTTGTGCCTAGTGTGGGCGACAAAATATTTTAGGCCATACCTGTATGGACGAAAGTTTAACATCATAACAGACCATAAACCCTTACAATGGCTGTTTAACTATAAAGATCCCACTTCAAAATTAGTACGATGGCGAATAAAATTACAAGAATTCGACTACCAAATAACATATAAGAAAGGAAAACTTAACACAAATGCTGACGCGCTAAGTCGCATTGAGTTACACACAAAAGACGCCGCCAACATCTCGAGTTTAGTCTCATACATCGAGGAATTTAATAAGCAACTTGAACAAGAAGGCACCTCATCGTCGAACACGAACAACGAAAATATAAATGCAAACGAAGATAACTTAGACCTAATTTCAACGATGGCACAACCCGACCTTGACCCACCAGCAAATGAAGACGACAATGAAACCATACATACAAATAACGAACAAGATCCTATAGTAGGAGTTCCTATTATAGAATCAGCAGTTGATTACGGAGCTAATCAAGTGATTATTACGAGCGTTTTGCATTCACCTGCAAAAACAAAACGCTTGATATTATTCGAGAAGAAAAGAAGATTTCTAGTCCAATTATCGGAAAATAATTTTGAAAGTGACGTCATGCAATTTGTGAAAGAAAATGTAGTAGGTACCCGAAAAGTTATATTCCATTTATTTCGAAAATCCAGATACTTACGAACCTTTCTGCGAAATAATAAGGAAAAACTTTAAATGGCCTTCAATTAAATTTAAAAGATGCTTGATAAAATTAATTGATGTAGTCAACAAAACAGAAATAGCAGAGGTAATTCAAAATTACCATGAGAGCAAGACAAATCACCGAGGAATCGAAGAAACCGAGCGACGAATTAAAGAAAAATATTATTGGCCCAACCTGAAAGAATCCATTCAATCATTTATCAATGAATGTGAAATTTGCCAACGTAGCAAATATGAACATCATCCCATAAATATGGAAATGAACATCACGCCTTCTGCAACAAAACCATTTGACATCATCCACCTTGATACATATACTCTCGATAAGGTTAAATTTCTTACTATAATAGACAGTTTTTCTAAATATGCCCAAGCTTATGCCCTTACATCTTTATCCGCTACCGAAATATGTGATAATCTCATATCCTTCTTTTCACATCATGGCATTCCATCAAAGATAACCACAGACAACGGAACTGAGTTCAAAAATACTGTTCTTACCGAACTACTTCAACTTCACAAAGTAAAAATACATTTTTGTTCTCCTGAACATCCCCAATCTAATGGCGTAATAGAGAGACTCCACTCAACCTTATCTGAACAAATAAGAATTTTCAACAATCAAGGATTCCTAAAAACCCCAATTACCCAAAAAATTAAATATGCAATCTTAGCATACAATCATACGATCCACTCTGTAACCAAACATAAGCCCATTGACATAATCACAGGACACATTAGTCCCAATGACCCATTCGATCTTAAGTTAGATCAACTCCTAATTACAGATTACGTCAACGAGCACAAAAATAAAACAAAACTTTTGTATTCTAACATAAATGAGCGTCTTATGGATACAAAAAATAAAATAATTGGCAAAATCAATGAAAATCGTGATAAGCCAACATTATTTAGACCAGAACAAAAAATATATGTAAAGAAACATACACGCCAAAAATTAGGAGACAAATTTCGACCAGCCACACAAATAGAGACCGTTGACCCCACACGGAAAACAATAACAACGGACACTCTAAGCAAAGTGCATATGGACAATATTAAACGTCCTCTAAGAAACAAATATAGTTTCGATACTTAAGTTAATTTTAATAAATAGGTAATAAGTATAATAATATTGGTACTAATAAATATGAATATAATAACCTCATGCTTACGCTTACTAATCTTTATTTCAGCTTTATAACCCACGCATTAGGAAACCAAGAGCAAATCTCCATAAGAAAATTGGACGATAATCCTGGAATTATCCCAGTGAAACTTGGAAATGCAAAAATTAGAGACTACACCTACACATTAATACACTACTATGACCTAAATCCCATACTAATCGAAATTAACAAACTACACTCTAAATCCAATAATATCACTAACATGCTTAATGGACACAAAGAGTATTCTGAAGATATTAGTAATTATATCAAATTAATTCAACTAATACAAATTAGAGTAGATAACAAAATTAAAGAAATAATTCCCCAGCCAGAAAGAACAAAAAGAGGCTTGATTAACGGCCTAGGGTCAATTTTCAAATCCGTAACCGGAAACCTCGACGCTGACGATGGCGAACGTTATGAAAATCTTATAAGGGAATTGCAAGGAAATCAAAAGAATTAGCAAGCAAATATTTTGAAACAAAATTCACTTTCTTTAACTGTTATTGAAAAATTCAATACGACGATAAAACAAATAAATTATAATGAGAAACTCTTAGAATCAAAAATCAATCAAATCGCACACATAGTAGAGAAATCTGCTTATAGAGAAAATTCTCTTTATATTAAGGACATAATTAATCAAATTATTAATGTCTATGAAATAATAGATTCAATATTACAAGATGTCGAAAACTCTTTAACTTTTTCCAAGTTAAAAATTATGCATCCTAGCATAATGAGAACTGAAGATCTCTGTACAGAACTTATCAAATTACAAAAACAACTAAGTAATGAACAAATGCCTTTAGCAGTTAATGTTGAGAACATTCTTTTGTATGAAAAAATCATCAAATTAGAATCATTTATTCTTAACAATAAAATAACTTATTTGGTCCATATACCTATAATGTATCCTGAATCTTTCGATTATTTCCACCTATATTCAATACCAATCAAAAGTCAGAGTCAGTTTAAGGTAGTCCTTCCACAAAATAAATATCTTCTCAAAAACGGATTGCACTACGCACATTATGGCCAAGAATGCCAGGAAATCCTTCCTGAATTCCACCTATGCGAAAAAGAAGAACTCCACGAACTCCAAGACAGCAGTCCATGTGAAGTAAAGCTACTGAACTCCGAAAAAGACACTTCTACTTGCAAGCCAACTGAAGTCAAAATCACACAACCAATAATCAATCGATTGGACAAATCCAATCAATGGGTATTTGTACTTCCGGCTAAAGTACCTATCAAATTCAAGTGCTTTGGACAAGAAGAAATCAGAAAAGTTATTGGAACCTTTCTAGTTCGTATACCAACCAGTTGCCAAATAACTATCACTTCGAGACTGATTATCAACAAAAAGAAGCCTCTGAAATCAGATGCACAACCTATACTATTTCCTGACCTTCCAAATGTACCTGAATTAATGCATTCCCTGAATTTAGGTACACACTTGAAAACCATAAAATTGGACAATCTCCACCAACTAGCTTATGAGATTGTCGAAAACCGTTTGACGTTTACTGAAATCAGAAGACTACCAAGTTTGGGAACCATTCTGATATATGCTATGATCCTTGCTGGGTGTGCTGTTCTTGGCTATAAGAAACTAGCACCGAAGTTGAAGAAACGAAGAGGGGACAACCACCCCGAAGAAGAAGCCCGACCAATCCAACTTCCTCGCTTAGCATGAAGTTGTATCTTAAGAAGGGAGGAGTAATGTCAGCTCTATTTGCTGACCATTCATATAAACTGCTTAATTCGCTTTTCTTTATTATAAATATCGCTGCCCGCCTAGAATAGTCAGTCAGTTGAATTGTAATTATATTTCTTATTTGAAACTTTGTAACGCGAACGCGAAAGTATTTCTCTATTGTAATTTAGTGAATAGATTGTTTTTTAAAAACTTGTTATCGGCCTACGTATTGATAACTTGCTCTATGAATTATTCCACGACAAATACTTTTTTCTAAATTATGACGTCATCGATGGCGTAAGTAAGTACAAAAACTGCAAAAAAAAAAATAAAATAATTTGGTTGCACTAATTGGTTTAGATATTCGCGTCCTTGGTTTAGAAGTAGTGGATGAAGATAGTGAGGTTTAGGACAAAAATCAAACTCCTGGATTAAAAATTCACCGACGTTTCGGCCTTATATTAGGCCTTCTTCAGGGCTCTTCCTGATTTGAAGAAGTGCTGTGGAGTGATTGCGAAATTAGATGTTAGCCACGGGTGCTAGCGAAACGTCAAGAAGAAATTCCAACTTACGACGGCCATTAAGCCCTAATGAAAACCCTTTATCAATATGAAGCATTTTGATTAATTATAATAATTGATTTTTTTTTTAAAATTAGATGACGTAATTGGTTGTGCCTTGGATTTAACAATCCCACAAATAAATTTCACTTTTAACGGAAACCATATACGAGGTAGTTTTAGGAATTTCAACTTAGACGGCATGTTTTTTCCTGTTATAAGCTGTTCTTCTAAATTAAGGTAATAATTTAAAAAAAAAAAATTAGTATTAGTATTCAATCAATTTTAGTTGTCGTTTCTTATTGGGTGGCGATCATGGCAAATTGAAATTCTGTCCCCCAGACGAATTTTCTCCCCTAGTAGAAAGTTTGCTGCCCCAACAAATCCTTAATCTGGATCCCTGTTTCTATTTCGGTAACATGAACAAAAGCGTCATTGCTGGACCTCTTGTAGTCGAAGACGATACCGCTTTCGTGCCTAATCCTGTAGATACATCCATGGTTAGTTTGCCTAGCTACATTGAATCCATAAGAGACAAACTGGCTGAAAATATTCACGAAATGTGGGCGATGAATAAAATTGAAGCTGGCTGGGGTTGGGGTGAATACAGAGACGATATGAGGCACATACATCCTTGCTTGGTGCCTTTTGATAAGCTACCGCCAGCTGAAAAAAGATACGATTCACAATTAGCTGTTCAAACTTTGAAGTAATAATAAAATTTTATATTAACAACTTAATAATTATTTGTTTGTATAGGACAGTCATAGCGTTGGGTTACTACATAACAATGGACAAACCACCTTCTAGAATCAAAACAGTAAGATTACCCAACGAACCATTCATGCAAGCAAATGGTTACAAACCAGCCCCACTTGATTTAAGCGCAATTCATTTGACTCCCAAATTAGAAGAGTTGGTTGATCAATTGGCCGAAAACACACACAATCTTTGGGCTAAGGAACGCATCCAACAAGCATGGACTTATGGATTGAATGAGGATCCAGACATGTTACGGAGTCCTCATCTTGTGCCGTACAGTAAAGTGGACGATGCAATTAAGAAGGCGAATCGTGATACTGCTTCAGAAACTGTTAGAACTTTATTGGTTTATGGTTACATTATTGATCCACCTACTGGTGAACAGCAGGAAACTTTACTAGCTGAGGCTAGTAGGCTTAGGCAGCAAGCATTTAGAACTTATAGGCAAGTTTTTTTTATAATAAGAATCACAAGTTTATATTATTTATTTATTCATTAAAATTTCTAACTTATTCTTATAAAACCTTATAACAATTTCTACTTGAAAAATAAAAATCCTAATTCAAAATTCATTTCATGAACAACAATTTTCTTTTCAAAATTTCCTATTCCATCCAATAGTTTATTTAATCAGAACAAATTCTATTATAAGTTTCCTTTAACAACTTTCCATTATTTTAAGACAATTCTATTTCATGAAAATCAAGATTCTTTTCAAAATTTCCCATTCCATTTAATTAAAACAATTACTATTTCCATCCTGGCTAACATACAAAATTATTTAAATTCTTATAGTTCGTTACTATAGCCCTTAATCTTCAATTGGACAATTTAGATCAAAATTCTTTAATAATCCCTACTCAAATCGATACTATTTATGTTATGTTAAGTGCATTATAAATTCCCTACATATTTTCTTTGCACAATTAAATTGGAATGTCATTATATCTGAAGGCAATTAAAGTTATGCAATAATGTTTTGTTGATATTTCACTTTATAGTCATTCATCTTTTATAAAGTCAAAAGTTTTACTAGGAAAATCACTCAAGTTTTTAGGCATTGAAAGTAATTTGCTTATTCACTATTTATCATTCAGAATCATTGATAAAAGTCAAAAAATTATTAAACACTTACATTTAATTTTACACACGTAAAATTACTTAATTAATTACTTAAAATTTTTAGCTAGCACGCACATAAGTGTTGACGAATTTAATTATCCTTTCTTTCAAAATTTTTCCGCTACTTTTTCAAAGACTGTTACCGAGGCATTACAAGAAACCTTCCGGACTGACACTTTAGGTACTGTAGATTTTAACTCAAACTGGACAGGACTGCGAACTCATCTCTCAACTGACAACTCAACTAACAACTGCCTTCCACTTCCAAAACCGCGGTATTTATATTAAATCGATCCCCCCCATTTTCTCTGTCCATGACAATTAAGATGATGCAATTTATTTAGGGTCGAAAAGCATTATGCTGTAGGTTCAGGCAAATGGTATTTCGAATACGAAATTCTAACAGCCGGACCAATGCGAGTTGGTTGGGCCAAAGCTGATTGCGCTCCAGGTTCAATGCTGGGTTCTGACGAAAACACTTGGGCATTTGATGGTTACAATGTGAGTATTGCATAATAAAATTTCAATGAATAATGATTTATGAAAATGTGTATAGTTGATTAAATACCATGCAGGTATTTCTGAGCATCTAGGAATGATGAGTTGGCAGGTTGGAGATGTTATAGGTTGTTTTTTGGACCTTACAGATTTTAATATTAGTAAGAGGCAAAAGAATGGATTTCTTTTTGTGCTATTGTTCTTGTAAAGTACAAAAATTGTTGTTTTCCTGCAGGAAGAAAAAGTCTATAGTAATTCAGCTGAATCGTTTGGAAAACAGTGGCAGGTGAACGATGTGGTCGGCGTTTTTCTCGATCTGATCGATCACACTATAAGTACGCGAATTGATTATTCTACCTACTAAAATTTATACAGCTTTTGTTGCCTTTTTTTAGCTGCTTTCATTACATATAGCTTTATAGCTGTTTTTACCTAACGATTCGTGAGTCAGGCTCGACATTTTCACTTTTGCTTCTTTGTATTAACTCGATACTAACATCCAGCTTCAATAATATAGTAGATAGATTTTTACTTAGATATAAGAGTTTTATATTAAAATAAACTAAAACCATTAAATTGCATGTAAATTTAAATTTATTTTAAAACAAAAACTACAAATCCTTCATTTTTTATAAATAAGGCTTTTCACTAAACGGAGAACTTTTAATGGACGCTCTTGGAGGAGAAACAACATTCGCAGACGTCCAAGGAGACAATTTCGTTCCAGCTTTCACTTTAGCAGTGGGCCAAAAAGCCAGACTTTGTTTTGGCCAAGATGTCAACCAACTCAAATATTTCACCACGTGTGGCTTACAAGAAGGCTACGAACCCTTCTGTGTGTAAGTAACCATTGAAATCCTTTAAAAAATATTTTATTAAGAAAATTTGCAGCAATATGAATCGACCAGTGACCTATTGGTACACCAAAGACCAGCCGATATTCGAAAACACTGACGATATGCCCGACACCAAAATAGACGTCACAAGAATTCTGGCAGGCTCCGACAGTCCGCCTTGTCTCAAAATCAGCCACAACACTTTCGAGACTATGGAAAAGGCCAATTGGGAATTTTTAAGGCTCAGTTTGCCCGTTATTTGCCATTCAGAATTTATTACGTAGGTTCCAAAATTTAAGTATTTCAACAAGCTTCTATGATTGTTTGTTGCAGTGAAGACGAAAAAATGCGTCGCTGGAACGAAATCAAAATAAGACAGCACCGATTGAAAGCCGAAGTGGAACAACAGCAACAAGGTCAACAACCGAATCCAGCTCACATTGAGAATATTATGAGGAGTGGATTTTCTATGACAGACATAAAAGGTTTGATCAGTGTGTAGCAAAACGCCCCAAGTACTCTATGTAATTAGTTAGATGGTAAATGGCGAGCGGTATATTGATGGTGTTTATTTACTTGGAGCTGCTACCTAAAATTTGTGGAAGGGTCTATTTGCAAGAGAGAGAAACAAACTATTGAGGTGTAGATACTAAATTATATTTTATTATACATAAAACCCAAAAATTTAAATCAGCAAAATATCTTCCAAGTTTTACTAGAAAAATCACTCAAGTTTTTAGGCATTGAAAGTCATTTGCTTATTCACTTCTTATCATTCAGAATCATTGATAAAAGTCAGAAAATTATTAAACACTAAAGTACTTACATTTAATTTTGCACACGTGAAATTACTTGATTAATTACTCAAAAGTTTTAGCTAGAACGCACACAGGGGCGTCCATAGGGGGGGGGGGAGGGCAAATGGGGCACTTGCCCCCCCCCCTCTAGGCCTGAAGATTATTATTGTTTCATGATGCTACCATTGCTACCAGAGAAGAATAAAAAAACAGAATAGCAAAAGTGATACTAAAAGTTGCTTACACAATAAATAATAATTGTCAAATTGACATTTTGTCTGTACAATGTGTGTTTATTTTTTAAAATGACGTCATTACAAATGAGTACAGTTTAGACTGCTTATGTTCATTCAGTAGTATACATATGGTTACTTATTGGCCGTCGTTTTTTATCTGACACTTTTCGTATGAAGAGTGAGGGGGTAAAGCACATGGCAAAAACCACATAAAAACAGGTGTGACGTCAGGTAACCATTGACGTTTTAACATAGGGAGCCACCAGCTCACACTTTTTTGGAGTATCAGATTAAAATCGACGGACTTTACATAAATGGTTTTATTTACGACTGACATTTAATGTAAGTATTATATTCGTGATATTGGCAATATAATGCCATATATTATTCCGGCGAGGGATTAATGGTCATTATTGTCGTAAATAAAGTAGAGTATACTACACGCAATAATGGCTATTATTCCCTCGGAATGTTACTCCCTCGCCGCTAACGCGGCTTAGTTCGTAAATATTCCTCTGGAATAATAGCTATAATTATTGACTCGTGGTCTCACTCGTGGTATAATCTACTATTATTTAAAAACTAAAAATAAGTCAAGTCCTTTCTTTCAAAATTTTTCCGCTACTTTTTCAAAGACTGTTACCGAGGCAATACAAGAAACTTTCCGGACTGACACTTTAGGTACTGTAGATTTTAACTCAAACTGGACAGGTCTGCGAACTCATCTCTCAACTGACAACTCAACTGCCTTCCACTTCTAAAACCGCGGTATTTATATTAAATCGATCCCCCCAATTTTCTCTGTCCATGACAATTAAGATGATGCAATTTCCTTGAGATTTTTATCATTTTTAGTCTAAAAAGTAAAAAATTATGTCGCAATATCCTGATTTATCGAGGTGAAAACATTAGTGGTTCAAGAATGCCATAAATCATTCGATTTAATTAGGTACCCGATGGTTTCGCAAAAAAATTTCATTGATCGGATGTTGGATGACATCACGCTGGGTGTCGAGATACGTTAGCGTTAATTTGTTTCATTTGAATTTATCGATACTGATTTGGAAATACCGGAAATTAAGTTTTTGATTATTTAATTTATGGGTCTATTTTCTCGGATCATTACAAGTGAATTTTTTGGTTCCAATCCTAATTGAGCCATAGTTCACTTCCAGTTCTTGCAATAACTTTTCCTCCATCTGCATTATGTTCTTCATTTGAATCATTTATTATTGTTTCAGGTTTACACAGAAACTATTCCGAAGATGCTGTAGAATCGGATGAAGTCATGAAGCAACAGCACGTGTCAAGAACCAATCAACATGGTAAAAATATGCCTGCTAGACCTCCGCGCAAAGGATCATTGTCTAGAAATAATGCAAATGGATTTGATGACGGATGTAAGTTAATGTTTTAAATTAATCAGCATATTCTGTACAAATTTGTTTTCCAGATCACAATGCAAATGGTAACAGAGGAGTACACCGATCCACCAGCGAAGTCGATATGAACCGATACTACGATCCAGCACCGCAGAATACCGAAAAAGTACCCGAGGAAAAGAAGAAGAGAGGCAGATCACCATTCAAGTAAGATTTCAGTTATCAAATAGTCGAAATAATTTACTGAATTACCTTTAGAACACACGACATTCACAATGATGAAAAACTAATGACCATGACAAATACAATAATATGATAAAAACAGATAGTTATTGGGTTTTTTTATATTAGGTTTTTCAAAAAACGTGGGGATACTTCAAGCACTGAACGTACCAAAACGAAAAAAACCCGTTCCCCAGCCGAACCGCGTAACTTGCAAGTTAACAGCGGCATGTCTCCCACAGCTCGTTCTGTAGGCCTGTCCAATACAATGCTCTCTCGAAGCCCTACAATGAAACAGCCTCAAGGCGATAACCTTCAAGCATCTACAGGCAATCAACAAAAGCAGCTGTCTGTACCCCAAACTTCCGACGTAGAATTTGTTGGCAATGAATTATATGACGGTGAATGTCTGAAGTTGATCAACGAATATTTTTATGGTGTGCGGATATTTCCTGGCCAAGATCCTGCTCACACTTACGTTGGTTGGGTGACTACACAGTATCACTGTTTCAGTAAGGATTTCAATCAGAATCATGTATTGAAGTCTTCTGTTGTGATTGCTGATGAGTATAGTAATAACATTATTGATCAGTAAGTAATTATCAAATAAATCAATAAGTCAATTAACTGGTTTTGTGTAAAATAGAATCGACAGACAATCATGCTACATGGTCAGAGCCGATGAACTATACAACCAAGTAACTCAAGATGCTTCCGGAAAAGGCGCTTCTCAAGGGATGTTCATCGGATGTTTCCTAGATGCTGCAACCGGTTACATCAGCTTCACTTGCGACTTGAAGCCAACATCGCACAAGTTCAAAATGGAACCAGACACCAAACTGTTTCCGGCTATTTTTGTCGAAGCCACCAGCAAGGAAATCATGCAAATCGAATTGGGGCGCACCTCCACGAGCCTTCCTTTGTCCGCGGCCGTTTTGCAAAACAGCTCCAAACACGTCATACCGCAGTTTCCGCCCAGGTTGAAGGTGCAATGCTTGAAACCACATCAATGGGCCAGGGTAAGAAGATTTATTCCTATTTCTACATTGATATATACTTACTCAAATTGGCTATAGGTTCCTAATCAAAATCTTCAAGTCCACGCTCTAAAACTCTCAGACATCAGAGGTTGGTCGATGTTGTGCGAAGATCCGATTTCCATGCTCGCGCTTCATATCCCAGAAGAAGATCGTTGCATCGATATTCTAGAGCTCATCGAAATGGATAAATTGTTGAGCTTCCACGCTCACACTCTGACGTTGTACTCGGCTCTATGTTATCAAAGCAACTACAGAGCCGCTCACGCGTTGTGTCATCACGTAGATCAGAAGCAGCTGCTCTACGCCATACAGTCGGAGTATATGAGTGGGCCTTTGAGGCAAGGATTCTACGATTTGCTGATTTCGTTGCATTTGGAAGCTACTGCAACAACTATGTAAGTACCTACAGGGCCACCGAGAGCTGGGTCGGGCCCCGGTAAAAAATAATAATAATAATAATAATAATGGGCCTTTTTTTTTGGAAAACCTAAATAAATAATAACGGGCCTTCCTCTTTCTTTTTTTTTTAGTCCCCCCAGGTCTTACTAGGTCCGGAATTTGTTTGTTATTAGGAAGTTCCAATTTTTTATTTGCAATACTGTATTTAAGACCGAAACAAGCTTGAAATATCATTCAATTACACATTCGGATATTTGTCTTTTCGAATGTGACACTTGCAAAGCGAAATTCAAACGAAAAGACAATCTAAAGGATCACATTTTAACACACTCGGATATTTATCGTTTTGCATGTGATACTTGCGAAACGAAAAACCAATTTAAAGGATCACATTTCGACACGTTTGGATATTTATCCGTTTGAATGTGACACTTGTAAAGCAAAATTTAAACGTATAATTCAGGCCCCGGAAATTTGTCCCGTCTACCCCCCCTTCTTGTCGGGCCTGAGTACCTATTAGAGCAAGTTTGTTCTTCAATTAAGTATGTTTGTTTTCAGGGAGGTTTGCAAAAATGAATACGTCATCCCAATAGGGCAAGACCTCAAAGATCTTTATGAAGACTCTATAATGGGCCATAGTTTGTGGAAGCTTCAAATGGAGTCTGTGGTGCCTCAAATGAAGACTTCTGATATTAGGTAGGTATTGTATTATATGCCAAAGATCAGAAATCAAATTGCCGTTTTCAGTGAAAATATCGAAAACATAAAGGCTCTATATTCTCCATATTTTCCTTTGGACGTTGTGAGAGATTATTCCATGAGCGCTCTAGCGGAATCGGTTGAAATAAATCAAGTGCACAATAGAGATCCTATTGGAGGCTCTAATGAAAACTTGTTTTTGCCTCTATTGAAACTGGTTGATCGTTTGCTATTAGTAGGCATGTTAAGTGACGAAAACGTCGAAAAACTTTTGATAATGATTTGTCCGGAAACCTGGGATAGAACATTCCAGAAAGAGGGTAAAGACGAGCACCGCAAAGGTCTACTTCAAATGAAAATGGCCGAAGGGGCGAAGCTCCAAATGTGCTATTTGCTGCAACATCTTTGCGACATCCAGCTAAGGCACAGAGTGGAATCTATAATAGCTTTCAGTCACGATTTTGTTGGTGAACTTCAAACTGATCAGCTCAGACGGTACATCGAAATCAAACAGTCCGATTTGCCTTCGGCGATAGCTGCTAAAAAAACCAAAGAGTTCAGGTGCCCGCCTAGAGAGCAAATGAACGCAATTTTGTGTAAGTTTCAGGAATTTGGTAAGTAGAAAATTGGCCAACCACATTATATCGAGTAAGAATGGGATTTCTAATAATTATTATGCTTGCAGCAAGTGACTTATTTATTTTAAAAAAAAAAATACCATTTGCAAAATATGTTTGTTACCTACCTACTAATCTTGTTTTGGCTTTGTAGTTTTGATATTATTAACAATGTTTGCATTTTTAAACCCCATAACATTTTAACTACAATGTATGTAAAAACTGATCTACACCCTGATTTAAAAGTAGGTACTATTGAAAAAGTTTTACAGTTGAGTAGATAATAATTTTTGGTAGATTTTCCTATAATTAAGCAAATTACTTTCAAGTAGTATTAATTTGTAACAATAATAGAATAATTCAATACCATTTTGTAAATGGTATGATAATGAAATAAGAAAATATTATAAATTTTTATAGGAAATATAGTACATCTGATAAGGTCCCTCGTAAGTAAACAATAAAAAAAGTGGTTTGCAAATTTCACAATCAAATTTTTCATTTAGTGACCACCATTCTTATATTTATCCAAAACCCCCCATGAATAATGGCTTGCTTACTAATATTTGTGAATGCTTACCTAAATTAGAGCATCTTGCAGTAGTCTGTAGGCAAAAATCTCTCATTATTTCTCTTGCAAATTATACAAACCCCTTCAACAAACCATAATTTGTAGGTTTCAAAAATCTAGAAGAAGAAGAAAAAGAAAACTGTCCCCTTGGAGACGACCTCTGTGAAAGAATGAACACGTTCCATAACGGCCTAATGATCCACGTATCACTGCAAGCTCTACAAGCACCAGGTGAAGAAGAAAATGCTGACGAGCAAGCTAAAACAGGTCCGTTGAAGAAGCTCTACAATTTCATCAATGCCGTTAAGGAACTGGAAGAAGAACCGAAACCGGAACCGGAACCCGAAAAGAAAACCCCAGAGGAAGTGTTCAGGAAAGTCCTAATCAGCACCATAGTGCGATGGGCCGAAGAAGCCCAAATCGAAATGTCGAATCTTGTTCAAGAAATGTTTAGCCTCCTTGTAAGGCAATACGATTCTGTAGGCGAACTGATACGAGCTCTAGAAAAAACCTACATAATAAACTCCAAGACCAAAGCCGATGTGGCTGAAATGTGGGTAGGCCTCAGCCAAATCCGTGCCTTATTACCAGTACAAATGTCTTTAGAGGAAGAACAATTAATGCGTGAACGTTTATGGAAACTGGTCAACAATCATACATTTTTCCAACATCCTGATTTAATTAGGGTTTTAAGGATTCACGAAAACGTAATGGCTGTAATGATTAATACTTTGGGCAGAAGATCTCAGGCTCAATCCGATGTTAGTGCACAAACGCAAAATCCTGAAGGAGAAGGCGGAGCAGCAAAAGAAAAGGTAAATTTGTTGATTTGTTTAATTGATGTTTTTATTAAAATGTTTCAGGATACTTCGCATGAAATGGTAGTGGCCTGTTGCAGATTCTTGTGCTACTTTTGCCGCACCGGACGTCAAAATCAGAAAGCCATGTTTGAGCATTTTGATTTTCTCTTGGACAATAGTAATATTTTATTGTCCAGGCCCAGCTTGAGAGGGTCCACTCCTTTGGATGTAGCTTACTCATCTCTAATGGAAAACACTGAGCTAGCTTTGGCTCTCAGAGAACACTATTTGGAAAAAATCGCTGTCTATTTGTCCAGGTGTGGCCTCCAGTCCAATACCGAGCTTGTGGAAAAAGGTTACCCGGATTTGGGTTGGGACCCAGTCGAAGGCGAACGCTATTTAGACTTTTTAAGGTTTTGCGTTTGGGTTAACGGAGAAAGCGTGGAAGAAAATGCCAACTTGGTGATTCGCTTACTGATCCGTAGACCCGAGTGTCTTGGGCCTGCTCTAAGAGGCGAGGGCGAAGGCCTATTGAAAGCCATAGTAGATGCAAATAAAATGTCGGAAAGATTGTCCGATAGGAGAAAAATGATGGAGGAATCGCCAGAGGGCACTGTTAGTTTGCAGCAATTCTCACATCCTTTACCGGAAAGTGATGAGGACGATGATTACATTGATACCGGTGCTGCTATTTTGAATTTCTATTGTACTTTGGTGGATTTGTTGGGAAGGTGTGCTCCTGATTCTGGTGTTATAGCTTTGGTAAGAAATTAATTATTTATCAGTATACTATATTGAGGAATTCCTTTTCCTATTTTCTTCTGCGACATCAGCATCAGACATCATGGGCGCTGGAATCGTGGGGGATATGGGGGCAATGGGGGCAATGGGGGCAATGGGGGCAATGGGGGCAATGGGGGCAATGGGGGCAATGGGGGCAATGGGGGCAATGGGGACAATAGGTGCAATGGGGGCAATAGGGGCAATGGAGGAATGGGGGCTTGAGCCCCCATAGTATTTCTCCTATATGGGGGCGGAGCCCCCATAGTGATTTTGGTATTGCATGTAGTGGGTGTAATGGATGTAATGTGTGTAATAGGTGTAATGGGTGTAATGGGTGTAATCGGTGTAATGGGTGTAATGGGTAGACACAGACATATTGAGTTCCTGTTTCTAACTATTCATTTTTATATCATATGTGTTTAATGTTTTTTTTGTTTTTGCTATACCTATCTTAACAAACATTTTGAATATTTTGTTGTGTAGTATTTGAACCTGTATTTTCAATAAGTCGTTCTATTATTAGATCTGTTTCTGCAGAAATCACAAACCAGTCAGAGTGAATTTCATTGGTTGAAATTGGTTTTCTGACTGTTTTTGACTGTTTTCAATCAATGAAATTCGCTCTGACTGGTTTGTGATTTCTGCAGAAACAGACCTAATGTTTCCTTTCCGTTCGTTTTCATGATAGATGTTCACATCATATGAATATATCATGATGTACCAATACATTGGCTTTTTTACATAGTTTATCATGGACAATTTATATACAGACCGGAAAACCTACTAGACACATAGGGAGTAATAAGACGAATTAGCTTGTACCCGGTTAAGGCGAATCGAACCGGTGCTCCCCACGGGCAGCTGGCGTGGCCAGGACATGGGACAAAGTAGCATTTGCCCCCTTCTCTCAAAGGCCTTTAAATTTTATTAATAATTCGAAATTGAAATAAACAAAGAATCAATTCAAGTCCTACGTTAATATTCAAATACATACATTATAATATAAGTAACGCTCTACTATAAATTCTTATGAAAATTTGCTTAAATGGCCGCATCTCTGCCATCAGAAATCCCAAAAATACCGTGAAAGGAACCAAAAATCTCGGCGCCTGCGGCGCTTTTCCTCCTGCAACGCTTGCAGCGGAGCTGTAACTGCTGCAAGGATCAAGCGATCCTGCAGTGAAATGGGTATCTGCCAACTGGTCCAATTTGAGTCTATGTGTCTAGTAGCCTAATCCTGTCTGTCTAATTGATTCTAGGTACTAATATTAATTTTTGGAGCCCCAGCCCCCATAGTAATTTTAAAATTCCGGCGCCTATGTCAGACATTACTTACCCAACATTAAATTATTTCACAAAAAATTCTAGGGTAAAAACGAATCCTTAAGAGCTCGCGCCATCCTACGCTCTCTAGTACCACTCGAAGACCTCCAAGGAGTCCTAAGCTTGAAATTCACGTTACACAATCCGGCTCAAGGCGAAGAACGACCGAAATCCGACATGCCGTCAGGCCTAACGCCGCCCCACAAACAATCCGTGGTCCTATTTTTGGAGCGAGTCTACGGCATTGAAACGCAAGAGTTGTTTTATCGGTTGCTGGAAGAAGCATTTTTGCCTGATCTTAGATGCGCTACAATGCTTGACAGAGTAAGACTACTACACTTTATATACCCATCACTATTCAACAATAATTATTAATGTTTAATTGCAGCATGATGGAAGCGAATCTGACATGGCCTTAAGCATGAACCGTTACATAGGCAATTCCATTCTACCTTTGCTGATTCAGCACAGTAAATTCTACAGCGAAGCTGAAAACTACGCCTCGTTGCTCGATGCTACTCTACACACGGTTTACAGGCTGTCGAAAAATCGCATGCTGACAAAAGGCCAACGTGAAGCTGTCTCAGATTTTCTAGTGGCCTTGACCAGTCAGCTACAGCCTTCGATGTTGCTGAAACTCTTACGCAAACTCACCGTTGATGTTTCCAATCTTTCCGAATACACTACAGTAGCCTTGAGGCTGTTGACGTTGCACTACGACAGATGTGCCAGATATTATGGCTCGAGTGGTGGCCAGGGAGCTTATGGTGCTGCAAGCGACGAAGAAAAACGTCTAACGATGATGCTTTTTTCAAATATATTCGATTCCCTTAGCAAAATGGATTACGATCCTGAATTGTTTGGCAAAGCCTTGCCATGTTTGAGTGCTATAGGTTGCGCTTTACCACCAGATTATTCTTTATCCAAAAACTATGACGACGAATGGTATTCTAATAAAGCAGCAATGTCTGGGCCAGATGGTCCGTATAATCCTCAACCAATCAATACATCTTCGGTACAATTAAATAACGATTTGAATAATATTGTGCAGCAATTCTCTGAGCATTACCATGACGCTTGGGCCTCCAGGAAACTGGAAAACGGTTGGAGGCATGGCGATTCGTATTCAGGCTGGGATGGCAATAAAACTCATCCCAGATTGAAGCCTTATACAATGCTGGGCGACTATGAAAGGGAACGTTATAAAGAACCCGTAAGAGAATCTTTGAAAGCCTTATTGGCTCTCGGTTGGACTGTAGAGCATACAGAAGTAGATTTGCCTTCCAATAATCGAAACTCTCAACATAACAGAGGTGAAAGCGCTGTCGATTATAACCCGCATCCTGTAGATATGACCAATTTGACTTTGTCAAGGGAAATGCAAAATATGGCTGAAAGAATTGCGGAAAATGCTCACGACATTTGGGCTAGGAAGAAGCGCGAGGAATTAACAACTTGTGGAGGAGGCATTCATCCTCAATTAGTCCCATACGATTTGCTTACGGACAAGGAAAAGAAAAAAGACAGAGAAAGGTCTCAGGAGTTTTTGAAATATTTACAATATCAAGGCTTCAAGTTGCACAGGCCTAATCGCGGAGGCCAACAAGAAACTGAACAATCCACTGCAGGGCCTTCAATTGAGCTACGGTTTGCTTATAGCTTATTGGAGAAGCTTATTCAATACTTAGATAAAGCTACTATTAATATGAAGTTGCTGAAACCTTCACAGACGTTTAGCCGCAGGAATTCCTATATAAAATCCTCCAGGGATATTAAGTTTTTTTCTAAAGTCGTTTTGCCTTTGATGGAAAAATACTTTTCTACTCACAGGAATTACTTTATTGCAGTAGCCACTGCCACAAATAACACCGGAGCTGCTAGTTTGAAGGAAAAAGAAATGGTAGCTGCATTGTTTTGCAAATTAGCCAGCTTGTTGAGGTCCAAATTATCTGCCTTTGGTGCCGACGTAAGAATCACTGTACGTTGCCTACAAGTGTTGGTTAAAGGCATCGACGCAAAATCTTTAGTGAAAAACTGTCCAGAATTTATACGAACCTCAATGTTGACCTTCTTCAATAACGTTGCAGATGATTTGGGACATACAATTATCAATTTACAAGACGGCAAATATAGTCATCTAAGGGGCACCCATTTGAAAACATCCACGTCTTTGTTTTACGTAAATTCTGTTTTGTTGCCCATTTTAACAGCGATGTTTGATCATTTGGCCAATTGCGAATACGGCAGCGATCTTTTGCGTAAGTCTAAACAATGATTTGCAAGGTTTCAATTTTACAATTATAAATTGCAGTTGATGAAATCCAAGTGGCTTCCTACAAAATCTTGCAAGCTCTGTACCATTTAGGCACCGACGCGACTTTGCACCACGACAGGAAATATTTGAAAATCGAAATGGGAAAGTACAAACCGGCCTTGGGGTCTTGCCTTGGCGCTTTCAGTTCCACATTTCCTGTGGCATTTTTGGAACCGCATTTGAACAAACATAATCAGTTTTCCTTGCTTAATCGAATTGGTAAGTCTTGATTTGTAAATTTCTCCTCCATAACAATCATAGGCGCCGGAATTTCGAAATTACTATGGGGGCTTGGGCTTCAAAAATTAACAAAAGTTTAATTGATTAGACAGACAGGAATAGGCTACTAGACATATAGACTTAAATGGCACCAGTTGACACATACCCATTTCACTGCAGGATCGTCACGCTGGATCGTTGATGGTCTCTGCAGGTTCCTTCATATTATTGAAATTCGTGCATCTTCGGCAGCTCGGCTATACTCGGCTTCGACAGCACCTTTGGCAAAGTCAGGATTTTGTCTTGGGGAGGAGAAGGGGCAAATTTGCAGACAGTGATACTTTCACGCAGCAATGGCAGCTTTGCCGCAAGTGCTGCAGGAAGAAAAGCGCCGCAGCCGCTAAATTTCTGGGTCTTTTCACGGTATTTTTGGGACTTCTAATGATGGGGCAAACGGAAATGCGGCTATTTCAATAAATTTTGATGAGAATTTATAGTAGAACGTTACTTATATTATAATGAATGTATTAATTTCATTATTTTCCATTTTGAATTATTAATAAAATTTAAAGGCCTTTGGGGTAAGGTGGCAAATGCCGATTCGATTCGCCTTAACCGGCTACAAGCCAATTCGTCCTATTACTCCCTATGTGTCTAGTAAGTTTGTTCGGTCTGTATATACATTTCCATTTTCCTAGTAGGAATGTTGGGATTAGGAACTCAATATTTTTGTACCTACTCACTACACCCACTACATACAATGCCAAAATCACTATACGGGGGCTTAAGCCCCCATTGACCCCATTGCTCCTATTGCCCCCATTGCCCCCATGGTTCTGGCGCCTATGATAACAATTTGAATTTTGTAGCTGATCATTCGTTGGAAGCTCAAGATATAATAGCAAAAATGGAACAATTCATGCCCACATTGGAAGCAATTTTATCCGAAGTCGATCAGTTTGTGGACAGCAACAAAACTCACACGGACGATCCTCACATAATCGACGTCATTATGCCAATGCTGTGCTCTTATTTGCCCTTTTGGTGGAGCCAGGGCCCTGATAATGTCAGTCCCACTGGTGGCGCTCACGTGTCGATGGTGACTTCTGAGCACATGAACCAGCTATTGAAAAATGTTCTGAAGCTCATCAAAAAGAATATCGGAAACGATAATGCTCCTTGGATGACTAGGATTGCTGCTTATACTCAACAGATTATTATTAATAGCAGCGAGGAGTTATTGAAAGATGTATTTTTGCCTTTGGCTGAACGTGTTAAAAAAAGAACAGAAGCTATGTTTCATAAAGAGGAGAGCATGAGAGGGTTTATTAAGAGCAGCACTGATGATACTTCACAGGTATATAAGATTAAGGTTTTTGGCTGCAAACTTTTAAAGGGTGAATAACACTTCTCGGGTCAAAGAATTGAATCTGCTTTATGATTTAACATTCAACAACACGTTAACTGACTGACAATCAACAAAAACTGACTGGTCTACAAAAGTCAAAAACGACACAGGTACAAGGTAAAAGAATTCTACAGATACAGTATGAGCATCAAAACTTATATGCAACACGCCACCTCAATTAAAATGTATCATCGTCACCAAAAGTAACTGGGGACAGCATCATATAAGCTCTTGTACTATTATATGAATTTTCTTGTCAAATATTTGTTAAACTATAAATTAATGCCTGTGTTAATGCATTGGAAATGAATGACAGTAGAATTAGTCCAGGAGATTATTATGCATTATTTTTGTCCCAGATACTTTTGGTGACAATAGCAGGTACTTTCTATTCTCTAGTGCATAGAAAGTACCTGTTAGGTAACAACCAGACGTTTACCAGCCAATCCATAATTTGGCCCTAAGTAGATTCAAGTGGAAACTAACCGAGAAAAAAATGTGTAATATTTATGAAATGAACAAAATTCACAAAGTTTTATTATCGGAAATTATAAAGGAAGATGGAGATTCCCTATCTTCCATCCCTGAAGACAGCTTCTTTGAAGTAGTTTTTAAATACTATTACCTCCTCCCTATTCTGCACTTGTTACATCTCCTCTTGAGCATGTGTAGGTAGTTCAAGATTGGGCACCCTACACTGAAATAACAAACGCCTCAGAATAGTGTAAATTATTGTGCACTAGTGGAGGATAACAAACAGACCTATTATAACAAAATAAAATAAGAAAACAAATAGGTAAATGTACCTATTGCCACAAAACAATATAAAAAGTTAAAACACATTACTGACTCAATAAGCTGTGCCTAAACTTCACAAACTTTTCTTTTCTTCAATGTAAATAATTTCTATTATCTTTTTCTGACAAAGGTTTTTAATGAAATGATACCTACGTGTTTACCTCGCTTGGAGTTCTCAAAGTTTTTAATCATGGAAATAGCACTTTGATTGTCTATTTTTAAAGTAACAGGTTTGCACTCGCTAATGTCTGCTATAATACCTCTCAAATTTACCACCTCCTGAGCTGCGCAACCAGCTGCTACATACTCAGCCTCCATTGAAGAAAGGGCTACACAACTCTGCTTTCGTGAGTGCCAAGCTATTGAATTCCCGTCATGGAAACATATGAAACCACTTACGCTCTTCCTTGTTTGCTTATGACCAGCCCAATCTGCATGACACATAGCTTCTAAGCCTCTATCATTTTTGACTCATATTTTTTTTTGCGATTTTTGACTTTTTTTTTGCGATTTTATCATCACTTTCCGCGATTTTATCCTCATTTTTCCTCATTTCAAAATTACGAGAATAACAATAATTTTTAAAAAGTTTCGAAAAATTACGGGAATTACGTTAAAGTACGTAGAATATGAAAAATTATGAGAATTGGAAACATTTACGAGAATTACGGAACAAGACGAGAATCACGGAATAACAAAAAATTGCCGGAATTACAAAAATTATGGGAATTGCCAAATATTACACAAAAGAATTACTAAATTACTCCAAAATTACGTCAATTATTTGAATATTAGTAATTTTTGAAAAGTTACGAAAACTAACAAGACAAATTACGGAAATTACGAAAAATAATGAGAATTAGGTATAAAAATTTACGGGAATTATGACCCAGTAAAATGACGGAAATGACGAAAATTTACGGGAATTATGAGAAGTTATAAAAATTACGGGTATTACGAAATATTACGGGAAAGAATTATAAAGTTATTTCAAAATTACGTGAATTACGGTAATTCCCAAAATAATGGAAATCACAAGTTTTTGAAATTACAAAAATTACAATAACTTAGGGAGAATTAGAAAATTCCGAATTTTTTTGGAAAATTAAAAATTAAAAAATTGAAAATACAAATAATTACTGGAATTACGAAAACATCACGATGGGAAAAGCGCGAAAAATTGCGGGAATAACGAAAATGAACAAGTTTTCCAAAAATTGAAAAAAAAAAAAGGGGAATTAGAAAATAACAAGAATTATCTGCGAAATGACAGGAATTAAAAAAATTCGAAAATCCCCAAAAAAATAAAAATACGGAAATTATCAACTTTCGAAAATTTCAAAAACTTAGAGGGAATTATAAAACTAACGGAATTTTTTTGAGAAATTACGGAATTTAAAAAATTACGAAAATAATGAAAATTAAGAAAATTTCGAGTTTTTCGAAAATTGTAAAAACTAAGGGGGTATTATGAAAATAACGAGAATTATCTGAGAAATGACAGGAATTACAAAATTTCGAAAGTTCCCAAAATAAAATACAAAAATTACGAGAATTACATAATTTCGGAATTATGAAAATAACGGAGTTTTCTGAGAAATTACAGGAATTAAAAAATTACGGAAATCTGAAAACTATAGGAATTATTCAAAAATTATAAAAAATATGAAAAAATCACGGGAATTAGAAAAATTGTGACAATTTTCAAAAAATTACGAAAATAACAAGAATTACAAAAAGTTACGGGATTCACGAATTTTCCGAAAATTGCAAAAACTAAGGGGGAAATCGGAGGAATTATGAAATTAACGAAGAATTTTTTTGAGAAATCACGGGAATTTTAAAATTTTCGAAAATTCCAAGAACAAAAAAAATTACGGGAATCACAAAGTTTTGAGAATCACAACAAACTTGAGGGGAATTATAAAGATAACGGAGTTTTTTGAGAAATTACGGGAATTACAAAATTACGAAAATTTGAGGAACTACAGGAAATATAAAAATTGAAAGAAATGAGAAAAAATCACGGGAACTGCGAAAAAATTACGATAATTTTTGGAAAGTTACGGGATTTATGAAAAAGTTACGGGAATTACGAAAATTACGAGTTTTCCAAGATTTGCAATGACTAAGGAAGAATTATAGAAATAGGGAGAATTATCTAAGAAATTACGGAAATAATGAAAATTCACAAAAAAAAAAAATTAAATTACGAGAATTACGAATTTTTGAAAATAACAAAAACTTAGGGGGAATTATGAAATAAGTAACTGAATATTTTAAGAAATTACGGAAATTAAAAAATTACGAAAATCTGAGAAACAACAGCAATTATTCAAAAATTACGGGAATTACAGAAAAATTACGATGAATTTTGGAAAATTACGAAAAATTAAGGAAATTACGAAAAGGTTATGGGAATTACGAAAATTATGAGTTTTGCGAAAATTTCTAAAACTAAGGAAAAATTATAAAAATAACGAAATTTAGTTGAGAAACAACGGCTTTTAACAATTTTTTTTCGCAATTTCACCTTCACTTTTTCGCAATTTCAGCAAATTTTTCCGCAAATTTTGCCTCACTTTTCCGTTATTCTTGCCTCATTTTTCAATAAGTATAATCTCACTTTTCCGCGATTTTCGCCTCACATTTCCGCAATTTCAACTTAATTTTTCCATAATCTTTACTTTTGTTTTTCGTATTTATAATTTCATTTTTTTTCGATTATAACCTTGCTTTTCCGCCATTTTTACTCAACTTTTTCGCAATTGCAACATTTCCAACCTCATTTTTCTGTAATTTTTACTTCTATTTTTCGTAATTCCAACGTCACTTTCCTGCGATTTTGACACTCATTTTTTCGCAATTTTTGAAAAGTTACGCAAATTACGGAAAATTGCAGGAATTAGGAAAAATTACTGGAATTATAAAAATAAAGAGAATCACGGAAATTACAAAAATTATAGGAATTACGAAAATCACGAATTTTTGAAATTATGAAAATTACAAAACTTGGGGGGAATTCAAAAATAACGAAGTTTTTTAAAAAATTAGGAGAATTAAATAGTTACAAAAAATTACGGGAATTACGAAAAAATTATGATTTTTGAAGTTATGGGAAAATTACGAAAAAGTTACGGGGGAATTACGAAAATTATGTTTTTCGAAAATGCAAAAACTAAGGGAAAATTGACTTTTTTAAGCAAAATTCATTTTCTTACATTTTATTTTTTTTCTAGAAAACTAGCAAAAAGATAATTGTGAAAATTTTCCAGAAAAAAGAGGAAAATGAGGATCTCATTAATGCAAAATTTCAAAATTTTCCAGTGAAAGATCATTTCAGGAAAAATTCTGGAAAATTGACTTATTTAAGCAAAATTAAGGAAAATTCATCCTTTCACATTTCAATTTATTTCTGGAAAACTAATAAAACAAAACTTGTGAAATTTTTCCAGGAGAAATAAGAAAATGAGGAGCTCATTATAGGAAAATTTCAAAATTTTCTAGTGAAAAATCAATCCAAGGAAAATTCTAGAAAATTGACTTTTTTAAGCAAAATTCATAATTTCACATTTCAATTTTTTTCTGGAAAGTTAGCTTAGCAAAAATTGTGAAATTTTTCCAAAAGAAAAAGAAAACTGAGGAACTCATTATAGGAAAATTTAAAATTTTCCAATAAAAAATTCTGGAAAATTGACTTTTTCAAGTAAAATGAAAAAAAATTTATCCTTTTACATTTAAATTTTTTTCTGAAAAACTGGTAAAGGAAAAATTTCGAAAATTTTCCAGGAAAAAGAAGAAAGTGAGGTGCTCATTATATAAAAATTTCAAAATTTTCCAGTGAAAAATCACTCCAGGAGAAGTTCTGGAAAACTGACTTTTAAGCAAAATTCATTATTTTAATTTTAATTTTTTTCTGGAAAATTGGCAGAAAGAAAATTTCAAAATTTTCCAGTGGAAAATCACTACAGGAAAAATTCTGAAAAATCGACTTTTTCAAGAAAAATTCATCCTTTCACATTTCAAAATGGTGCTGCAGCACCCCTCTAATTTGGAGCCTAGTTGCGCTTATGTTGATAACGAAATTGACACGTCATTGAATTCAACAATGTTTTGCATGGGACAAGGTCTATAATCTGAATGATGTGGTAAGAGCACATTCAAACCCCTGATTATTTTAACGGCTGTCACATAGAGAAATATAATAGAAGTAAACTATTATATATAAACAGAGTGATTATATGGAAATTCCAATTATTAAAATTAGATGCTTTCAAAATAGGTACTGCTAAACAATTAAACGCAGCCATTTTTCACAACTAGAATTATTTTCGTTCAGAATGCTGAAACTTTTCGAAGACTTATTTTTGGCACTTATCTTTTCCGGACTCAAGAGCGCTCACTGGAACTAACTGAAGTCTGGGCCCATAACCTTTTAAAGGGTGAATTACACTTCTTGGAACAACACTTTGTTAGCAATCTGCTTTATTATTTAACATTCAACAACACGTTGACAGACTGACAATCAACAAAAACTGACTGGTCTACAAGAATCAAAAACGACACAGGTATTTACATACAAGGTAAAAGAATTCTACAGATACAGTGAGCATCAAAACTTATATGCAACACAAACTAATTTACTTACAAATATTTCTTGTTAGGTTGAGACTCAAATTCAAGAAGACTGGCAACTCTTGGTTCGGGACATTTATTCCTTCTATCCCTTGCTAATAAAATACGTGGATCTTCAAAGAAACCACTGGCTGAGGCACAACGTCGAAGAAGCCGAGCACCTGTACAATCACGTAGCTGAAATCTTCAATATCTGGTCAAATTCTCAGTACTTTTTGCGTGAAGAACAAAACTTCATTTCCGCCAACGAAATCGACAATATGGTTTTGATTATGCCCACTGCTACTAGGAGGAGTGTCGTAACTGATGGCAGTCAACCTTCGACAGGAAAAGCAAAGGTAACATTTTTTTGTTTGTTTGAGTTTTGTTGTGTTAATTTGGATTTTCTTATGGGTAAGAAAAGCAGGAATCTTTGGGAGAACTCCAGGTATTTTTAGGGACAGAGAGCCAGTTTCTGGTGTCAATGGTTTGAGAAAGAAACTGGCTCTTTGGCCTAAGATTTTGTGAAAATGCAAAAATAAAATATCAATATTTCTATTTAGAAAAAGAAGAAAAATCGTGACAAAAAACGTGATAAAGACAAGGAAATCCAAGCTTCCTTAATGGTAGCCTGCCTCAAACGTCTCCTACCAGTTGGTTTGAATTTGTTTGCTGGCAGAGAACAAGAACTAGTCCAACACTGCAAAGACCGCTTCTTAAAAAAGATACCTGAATACGAAATAATTGGTAATAATTCTAAAGTTCTCACTAGTCCATCGATATAATGCTGAAATTTTAGATTTTGCTAAAACCCAACTGACTCTACCGGACAAAATCGATCCTGCTGACGAAATGTCTTGGCAGCACTACCTCTACAGCAAGTTAGGCAAAAAAAGCGTCACAGTAAACACATTGGATAGCAATGGCAAAAACCAACTCGAAGAAACTGTGGACAGGATAGTGGCAATGAGCAAAGTTTTGTACGGACTACACATGGTAAGAATATAATCAATTACCTATAAGTTTCATATTTTTTTCTTGAGTTGCTGTATTATTTTGTTCTGTTAGATCGATCATCCTCAACAACAACAAAAGGGCGTTTATAGGTCTATAGTTTCAACTCAACGTAAAAGGGCTGTATTATCTTGTTTCCGACAAGCCTCTTTGCATAGTTTGCCAAGGTTCGTTTTATGTTTTGTTGCTTTTTTTTTTCAATTTTAGTTTAGTTTTTCATTTGATTAATGTTTTGTGTGTCTACTAATAAACCAAAAGGCCGCCAAACCGAGAGTGGGCAGAGACGGCTGGAAAAAGGTCATGAATGCAGCCAGAAAACGAGCGGCTTTAGCTTGTCTTAGATGTACGCCATTGTATAAGCTCAGCAGGTCTGTTCACTAACTGTATCTTATTTCTTAGCATTTTTAAAATATCAACATAATTTCTTCATCCAATATAGACATCGGGCTATTAACATTTTCATACGTACTTATCGCGATTTTTGGCTGCAAGACGAAAATGTTGGTCAGGAGGTGATGATCGAAGATCTGACTCAGAGCTTTGAAGATTCGGAATTGAAGAAGAAAGACGAGGAAGAAGAGGAAGGCAAACCGGATCCACTGACACAACTTGTTACAACTTTTTGTCGTGGAGCAATGACTGAAAGGTAAAAATTTAAATTAACTATACAGTATGTTTCAAAAGTCTGGGAACGGTCAAATATTTCCATAAAGGCTTGAAATAGAATTACGAAATTTTCTGCATATGGGTAATTAATAATGCCCGATTCAATGATCACATCGACAATGTTGCCAAATTTACTGGTTGCCAGATAATGTAGGTAACTTCGTTTTTCAAAATAGGTATACCACTTTATTTTCATTGCAATAAATTAGGCGCTCTATTGTTACTTATTGAAACCTCTTGATATCATGTCCCTATCTCATACGGTTTCTAAAATATGGCAACACAGACTTTTTGTACAAAAGTCCTGGGAACGGTCAAATATTGTCATAGCGGCTTGAAATAAAATTACGAAATTTTCTGCATATGGGTAATTAATAATGCCCGATTCAATGATCACATCGACAATGTTGCCAAGTTTACAATTTTTTCAGATAATGCAGGTAACTTCGTTTTTTTTTTTTAATACCACCTTATTTCTAATGCAATTTTGGTACTCTATTGTAAGTGAAACCTCCTGATATCAAATCCCCATTTCAAGTGGTTTTTGAAATGTGGCAACACAGACTTTTTGTTCAAAAGTTGGAGAACGATGAAGTATTTTGACAAAGGCTTAAAATGGGATATTCAAAATTTGATGAATAGAGGTTATTGTGATGCTCAATTCAATGATGGCATCAACAAATATCAAAATATCGATACGCTGGGATTCACTCAGTTCGAAATTTATTTTGACAAAACTTGGAAGGAACTTGACACAACTGATAATTACCTCTACCCAGGGCCAGTGATGTGCCTGTAGACAATGTCAACGTAAACAATTGATTGTCTACGTGTAGACAATTCGAATTGTTTACGTGGGCAATAGACCTATCTCCCATGATTAGAAAAAGAGAGCTTCATTGTAATAAATACAAGTTAGAAAACAATAGAAGATGACATGCGCGCGCAACTCGTAGGCTGCAGTGCAGCCAGATTGTATTGTTGCAGAACAAATGTAGACAATACAAATCGAACATTATAACATTAAAGAAGTAATATAGTCCCAAGTGTTTCACAACGCCTTAAATCAGACAAAAGAAGAGCTTTAAAGTGGATAAACATCGTTTGCACTTTTATTTTGATAAACGGCAACATCGCTCAATGAAATTGCAAAGGAATATGTCAAGTATAATCTAACATAACCTTAAACGAAATTGCGGTGAGTTCAAGTAATATGTAAAGTATTAGTTTGCTCTTTGTCAAATTACACGTTACAAAGAAAGAAAGAACGATTCATTCTGAACTGGCCCCTAAATAAGAATATGACGCAAGCCTGTCATAAACTTGTTTCTCATTGAACGCTCACCTGCAGCCTACAAGCAACGCGCGCAGTCCAGGTAATAGGAGATCGGTCTATTGTCTACAAATTGTCTACATGTGACGTAAACAATAAACTTATTTTAGAAAAGGATAACGCACACCTAACATGGGATTTTTGGGCTCTATGAGGATTTAATTCTGAACAACCTTTAAATGGGATGAAATCTTGTAGGTATTACGGTCTTTGCGGTATGAGCGTCGAGAGATGAACTTTTTTGCGACTTTTTGTGTGGAGAGTATACGAGGTACTGGTGCTACTGGTGTTTATCAGTCAAAATATTGATATGTCAACATATTTTACGTCAGATTAATGTCAACATAGGCTGGGACCACACTGGGGCTAATGTTGGCGCCAGTGCGGTCCCGGCCTTAGCCTATGTTGACATTTGTTAGTGACGTGAAATAGGTATGTCGACTTGTCAAAATTTTGACTGATAAATACCAGTTTTTCGTATACTCTCCACACAAAAAGTTGAAAAAAAGTTGATCTTTCAACGCTCATATCTCGAAGACCGTAATACCTACAAGATTTCGTCTCATTTAAAGGTTGTTCAGAATTAAATCCCCTACAACATATCAAAAAATGGGCAAAATCCATAGAGCCCAAAAATCCCATGTTAGGTGTGCGTTATCCTTTAAAAAAAAGTTCCAAAATTACTAATACCTAAGTAGCTTATACCTATCACTTTGATATCAGCATTCACTGATTATAAATATGAGGAAAACCGATAATAAAATAAAAATAATTTTTGAAAAGGAAAGTGTGAGGTTAGAATTAAACGTCATTTATATTATTTTACATTGTTGACACCATAGAGGTTGACACGTTGTCTACATTGTCTACATTGTCTACACGTAAAGTAGACAATGAAAGTCTACGTGTAGACGCACATCCCTGCCCAGGGCCGGCTCCAGACAAATCGGCGCCCCGTGCAAAAAATATTTTTGCCACCCCTCTCACCGATTCCTATTTGCTAAACTTGCTTTTGATTTTAATTTTGTCCAGTGTCCTTATATGATATGTACAGTTGCGGTCATTGGAATTGGCACAAATTTTTGAACGCACCTTTTAATGCATCAAAATTTGACGTTTTCAACAAGCCGTTAATGCCAAAATTGTGTCAGTTTTGGCTTTAGACAAGGCGCGTTCAAGCTGGCGGACGCGTTCAACTGCTAGCATGAGGTGTTTTCAAGTTATCGTTTTTCGAACTGATCGCGAACCAGTTGGAACTGCGCAGAACTAATTGCGTACTAAATAGTGAATTACCGAGTGAATTACAGAAGCTCTGCAACAGCAAGATACAAATGCAGGACCTACAAGTCTTACTTTTCGTATAACAGAAGCAGAATGCATTTGCAAGTCGCCTGCAAATTTGCGCATGATGAAACGGTCCTGTAAGTTCTTGCCAGTTCTTGCAGTCACTTTGACAATTTTGACATTTTAAACTGATAAACCAGTAGCGCCCAAACACTATTTTCGATAAATATGTCGGAACTGCAGATTTTTTTCTGTAATTTGCTCGTTTCTGCAAATAGAGCCCATATGCAAGTGGGCCATATTTGCAGAACTGCAAATTTTCATGTGCAAATATACTGTAAATGGGCACTTGAGAGTCGCAGTCCTGCATGCACTCGTTCAAGTTTCTTGCATATTGCAGATAGAATTGCAAGCTGTAAAACGGCCTTTAGAACTGTGCTCTGATCGTTGGGAATTGATCAGTTTGAAAAAACCTGAACATGTTTTATTTTATTTTTTTACTGAGCAGGCGAATGCGATAATTGATGAAATTAATCATAAAGCTATTGAAATTTGTAGTGTGGGTTTTTTATCCCAACAATTCTCCCCGAGATTTTTGCCGCCCTTCGAGTTTGCCGCCCCGTGCAGGGGCACAGGCTGCACGGGTCCTGGAGCCGGCCCTGCCTCTACCACTAGATGATAAACAAATGAATATCTAAATTTTTAGTTATTTAGCGTACGTGTATCCTTTTATCTCATTGTTTTGACAAATTGTCAAACAATACAGAGAATATCAGGTAGAGTACAAATATTTTAACATGAGATAATATGACCTATTTTAAGCTAAGACTGTCCTAGGTATTAAGGCTACTAATCATGAGTCAATTGTTAGTATTTTCGGAATTATCGCAAAATTTAAATTTAAAAAAATGTTAACAACGTGACAACATTGTAGAGATCATCTCTACCTGGATATTAGTATTATTAAGATAGACACATAAAATATTTTCTTGGGGTAATATTTTCTCAAATCTGGAATTGATCCCTACATAATGTAAACCTACTTTTAGTCGTTTTAAAAATTCGACTGTTCCTGGACTTTTGAACAAAAAGGATGTGTTGCAATAATCTACACCTTTTCCATAAGTATTTCAGAATGTATCACTTGTATTTCAGATTCATCAATTCTAGTTCAGAATTCGTCAATTGTATTCCAATTGTGTAAGTTTAATTTCAGAAAGTGTTATTTGTATTTCAACTTTGTCAGTTGTAGTTCAGAAAACGTCATTTGTATTAGGCAATTCAAACCACGTGACACTCAAGATGGCGTGGCGGCCACACATGGGCCAAAAAACACAAAAAAAAATATCTAGTTTTTGCCCGATTTATTAGTTTAGGTACCTAGTCAACAAATATCGTTTTAAATAATCAAAATCAAAGTTATAAGCAAAACTCTAAGCAAAATAATTTAAAATACACTTAAAAACATATTCAAAACAAGCTTGCTTGGCCGCCACGCCATATTGAATTTTCCTTTTTGACAGATTGTTTAAATTGCCTAATTTCAGTTTGGTCAGTTGTATTTCAGAAAAAGTCATTTGTATTTCAGTTTGGTCACTTGTATTTCAGAAAACGTCATATGTGTTTCAGATTATTTATTTGTAAATCAGAAATTGTAAATTGTATTTCAGAATTCGTCAGATGTATTTCAGATATTACTATCAATGTAGTGTATTCAATAAAATTTATAATAGGTCACCTATACACATAGCTTGTGTTGATTTGGGAAAATACGCGTCTGTGACGCTTTAGATAGGTATACCTGTACTTTTCAAATGTTATGCTTTTCACTGTCAAAACTCATAAATATTTCAAAGATAAGTTCATCCATAAGCATGGAACTTAAGGATATATGTGGTATATGTCGCATATCTATGCTTCGAAAGCCAGTATCAAGATTACAGCCATGCCTCCACCTCTTTCATGAAAGGTGCGTTGATTTTCTTTTCGTCGAAGGAGAAAATGAAGTTGGTGTAATTGTTCTAACTTGCCCCATGTGCAGACAGCAAATAACACATAGAGAAGCGGTAGAAAGAAAAGAATATATGAATCATTCCACTAAGGACAAGGAACTGATCATTGTTTCAGCCAATCGTGGCGACGATTGGGTAGAACTGAGTAAGCAGTTGAATGTGCCATACAAAACGGCTTACCATTGGGTTCGTTCGGGCAAACCAGACCCAAACTCCAAAGGAGGGAAAAAAACGAAAATTTTAAGTGAAGAACAAATTAACACAATTATTGAATGGCTTGAAGACGACTCCAGCTTAACCTTGGTTCAGATAAAACAAAAAGTAGTACAAGTCTTTAATGAGGATATATCTGTATCGACTGTAGGAAACTACCTTGAAGGTCGAATGTTTACACTTAAACAAGCGCATTACGAGCCAGCCACAATGAATTCCGTTGAAAATAAAAGAAAAAGGGCTGAATATGTTCAAGGACTAAATAGATTGATTGAACTCGGCAAACAAATTGTATATATTGACGAGACTAATTTTAATTTATTTTGTCGGAGAACCAAAGGCCGGGCAAAAGCAGGCAATCGCGCCGTGCAGATCCGCCCTGCAGTAAGAGGCCCCAATATTCATCTTATAGGCGCAATTTCTGCGGCAGGTGTCATAGCCATGGATCGTCGGAGAGGTTCATTCACAGCTCAAGCGGCCAATGAATGGGTGACTTCACTATTTCAGAGATGGCGGGAAATGGGCAATCAACTCAGGGACTTGGTCATAGTAGTCGATAATGCTCCTTGTCATCGAGGTTTGGAAAATGTTATAACGGAAACACCCGTTACTTTACTTAGACTCGCACCTTATTCCCCTATGTTGAACCCCATAGAAATAATATGGCAGAAAATAAAAGCAGCGGTGAAACGTCAACTTAGAATCCCAAATGTACAGCCTCCGGGAGTTGGTGAACAACGAATCGTATATCTGGAAAACATCATTGATGCTGCCAAAAACACCGTTGTTGGTGGAGACTGTGCCAGAGCAGTGCAGCATTCCACTATTCACCAACCGGCTGCACTGGCATTGGGAGATATGGCCGTTGGACGTTGAAAAAGATTTGTATGTGGTATACTTTTGTTATTTCCATAATTCTGTCACAGATTCTTTTATGCAAGTTTGATTTGTTTACCTATAAAATACTGTAAAGTCAGATTTTGTATTTTTATTTAGGGTATTACTTGACTCAGAGCATTTTTGGAAAATTATCTCATGTCGAAAAGTACAATATTTTTTGATAGTTGGAGCTGGAAAACAATATTTCATCCTGAAAATCTTTTTCGAAAATGTATACATAGACATACAATTATTAGCTTTTTAATCATTTTTTCCGATTCGGCAGCTCAAACTTTATTTTATGTACCTAACTGAATGTAAATTAAAAATTGTGCACTATGTATACATAAAAATAAATAAATAAACATCGTTTGAAAATGAAACATTGTATTTGATTCGAAGTAATCTTCATGTGACTTACGTGAATTTGATTCCATGCGCGTTACATTATAAAATCAATATCTACATAATATTATCTGAAATACAACTGATGATTTCTGAACTACATCTGACAAATTCTAAAATACAATTCACATTTTCTGAAATACAATCAACTAATCTGAAATACAATTGACACTTTCTGAAATAAAATTAACTAATCTGGAATACAATTGACGCTTTCCGAGATAAAATTGACTAACCTGAAATACAATTGACGCTTTCCGAAATACAATTTACTAATCTAAATTGCAATTGACGCTTTCTGAAATTAAACTGACGATCTCTGAAATACATATGGAAAATGTGTAGAGACCGTGTAAAATAGGGACATGATATCAAGAGGTTTTAATAACAATAGAGCGCCGAATTTATTGCAATGAAAATAAAGTGATATTCCTATTTAAAAAATAACGAAGTTACCTCAATAGGAATGTTCACTATTTTTCAATTGTAATAAAAAGTGGTGGTTCTAGGTCCACAAAACACGTATTAAACGTTAAAACAGCTAGAAACCCTTAATTTTTTCTAATAAATCGAAAACAAAAAAAACGAAATTAGCGAGGCTAGCAAAACGACCACTTGCGGCGAGAGTAGCGCTTGTGACGTCACGTTGCAGAATTATTTACGATATAATAATGCCTACAATATATTAAAATTTGTCTCTCTTCCGCTCATTGTAAAAAGTATTTGGACAATTAATTGAGTTCACTATTCAGGATGCTTCCTAACATTCAATCACCAATTAGTTCATCAGTATCTTTATCTAAATGCATATGAAAGAAAAAGACACTAATAGTAATAATATTATTAATATTTTCTATTGCCAAGAAAAATCGCAGAAGCAACGTCATAAAAGGCTGATCCAAGTGGAAAGTAGCGCCACTGTACTTGCGCGCGCTAACTCGTTACACATTATGACGTCAGCGAGCGTTTCTGACTTTTAAACGAATATTGATATTTCGTCTCCGTTTTTCTCATAGAAAGAATTTTCTGAATTTCGTAAAATTTTGTAAATTTACTTAAGAAACGATGCTTAATAATTTGATGATTGTTAAACCGGATTTTTTTATTTTGTGAACATCCCTATTATCTGAAAACCGGTAAATTTGGCATCATTATCCATGCCATCATTGAATCGGGCATCATTGATTACCCCTCTGCAGAAAATTTCATTATTTTATTTCAAGCCGCTCTGGGAATATTTGACCGTTCCTAGACGTTTGAACAAAAAGGCTGTTGCCATATTTTAGAAACCGTGTAAAATAGGGATATGATATCAGGAGATTTCAATAACAATAGAGCGCCGAATTTATTGCAATGAAGATAAAGTAATATTCCTATTCAAAAAAACGAAGTTATCTACATTATCTGAAAACCGGTGAACTTGGCAACATTGTCGATGTCTTCATTGAATCGGGCATCATTAATTACCCATATGCAGAAAATTTCGTAGTTCTATTTCAAGCCGCTCTGAAAATATTTGACCGTTCCAAGACTTTTGTACAAAAAGTCTGTGTTGCCATACTTCAGAAACCGTGTGAAATAGGGACATGATATCAAGAGGTTTCAATACAATAGAGTGCCGCATATATTGCAATGAAAATAAAGTGGTATTCCTATTTAAAAAAACGAAGTTGCCTACATTATCTGAAAACTGGTGAACTTCGCAACATTGTCGATGTCATCATCGAATCGGGCATCATTAATTACCCATATGCAGAAAATTTCGTAATTCTATTTCAAGCCGCTCTCGAAATATTTGAGAGTTCCCAGACTTTTGAACAATAAGGCTGTGTTGCAATATTGCAGAAACCGTGTAAAATAGGGACATGATATCAAGAGGTTTCAATAACAATAGACCGCCGAATTTATTGCAATGAAAATAAAGTGGTATTCCTATTTAAAAAAAACGAAGTCATCTACATTATCAGAAAACCGGTAAACTTGGCAACATTGTCGATATCATCATTGAATCGGGCATCATTAATTACCCACATGCAGAAAATTTCGTAATTTTATTTCAAGCCGCTCTGGAAATATATGACCGTTCCCAGACTTTTGAAACACACTGTATTATTAATTCACTTTTACATATGTATAGGTCTGGTGCATTGCAAGAAGATCCTCTTTATATGAGTTATGCAGAAATTATTGCTAAATCTTGCGGAGAAGAAGAAGAAGAAGGCGAAGAAGGCGGAGAAGAAGGTGGTGAAGGCGAAGAAGGAGGTTCCTCGATACACGTAAGTAACAACTCTTTGGCACACCGATTTGATAAATGATAATGCTCCTATTTTAATTCAATGCTTAGAGGGCAATGTGCAAGCTCCAGGTAAAATTTTGTTTCAAATTCCCTGCCTAAATAAATTCCAATTAATACAATATTACATTTCTTCTTATATAGGAACAAGAAATGGAAAAACAAAAACTCCTCTTCAATCAAGCCCGTTTGGCCAACAGAGGCGTAGCCGAAATGGTTCTATTGCACATATCAGCTTGCAAAGGAGTACCTTCCGAAATGGTCATGAAAACCCTACAACTAGGCATTTCAATTTTAAGAGGTGGCAATTTCGACATTCAAATGGGAAGCCTCAATCACCTAAAAGACAAAAAAGACGTGGGATTTTTCACCAGCATTGCTGGTTTGATGAACAGTTGCGGCGTCTTAGATTTGGACGCGTTTGAAAGAAACACCAAAGCTGAAGGCTTGGGAGTGGGCTCTGAAGGGGCCGCCGGCGAGAAGAACATGCACGATGCAGAATTCACTTGTGCCCTTTTTAGGTTCATTCAATTGACTTGTGAAGGACACAATTTGGAATGGCAAAATTACCTTCGTACTCAAGCAGGCAACACTACAACCGTAAACGTAGTAATTTGCACTGTCGATTACTTATTGCGTTTGCAAGAATCCATCATGGATTTTTACTGGCATTATTCTAGCAAAGAACTCATCGACTTGGCTGGTAAAGCGAACTTTTTCAAAGCCATAGGGGTGGCTAGTCAAGTTTTTAACACCCTCACTGAAGTCATTCAAGGGCCTTGTACCTTGAACCAGCAAGCTTTAGCTCATTCCAGATTGTGGGATGCTGTAGGAGGGTTTTTGTTTTTATTTTCGCACATGCAAGACAAGTTGTCGAAGCATTCCAGTCAGGTAGATTTGCTCAAAGAGTTGCTCAATTTACAAAAAGATATGATTACCATGATGCTGTCAATGCTTGAAGGCAATGTTGTAAATGGTACCATCGGCAAGCAGATGGTTGATACTTTAGTGGAGAGTGCTTCAAATGTGGAATTGATTCTAAAGTATTTCGATATGTTTTTGAAGCTCAAAGATTTGACTTCGAGTGCTAGTTTTTTGGAAATTGATATTAACAACGACGGCTGGGTTTATCCGAAGGATTTTAAAGAGAAAATGGAGCAGCAAAAAAGCTACACACCGTAAGTTGCTACTAATTATAGTATTTCGAGTAATTTGCAATTTCATTTCCAGAGAAGAAATCGAGTTCCTTTTAGCTTGTTGCGAAGTCAATCATGACGGTAAAATAGACTATGCCGGCTTTATAGATCGTTTCCATGAACCTGCAAAAGAAATCGGTTTCAATTTGGCCGTTTTACTTACCAATCTATCGGAGCATATGCCCAATGAACCAAGACTTGCCCGTTTTCTGGAAACTGCCGGCTCTGTCCTCAACTATTTCGAACCATTTTTGGGTCGTATTGAAATTTTGGGCAGCAGCAAGCGCATCGAGCGTGTCTACTTTGAAATCAAAGAATCCAACATCGAGCAATGGGAAAAGCCTCAAATTAAGGAATCGAAACGGGCCTTTTTCTATTCCATAGTCACTGAAGGTGGAGATAAAGAAAAATTGGAGGCTTTTATTAATTTTTGTGAGGATGCTATATTTGAAATGCAACACGCTAGTGGATTGATGGCTGTGGAAGAGTCTGGAGGTGGTGGACCAACTAGAGCTACACCTTATAGTTATATGACAAATGAAGATGAGCAAAAGTAAATATTTAGAGTTTTGATTCAAAATTGAGGCCTTATAATTGATAATTTTAGAGCAGGCAATCCAATCAGACGTGCATATCAAGCCGTTAAAGATGGAATTTATTTTGGCTTATCAGCTTTGAGCCCATCAAACATTAAACATAAAATAAACGAAATGCAACAAATGACCATTCCAGAACTTTTTATAGGTAAGCAAAATACAGGGTGTCCTTAGATAAACTGACACATTTTGCAGGTAAATATTTCGAAAACGGGAAAAGATAACGAGATGCGGTTTGTTTTGGGAAAATAAGGATTTTTAATTTTTTTTTTACATTATGGCCGAATCCTAAAATTTGTTGAAATTTGGTTCTATAAACATGCGATTTTTTGAAATCAAATGACTGCCTTATTTTTAATGAAACACCCTGTATATTTTGTCATCGTCAGAAAGCCTGATAAAGTTTGAAGTCCCTTTGATTGCTTGAAGTATTTTTCAGAATCTTCCAAATGTAGTTTGATACAAATATTTAAAGATTTTTTGCATTTAAATGAGAAAAAATTCATAATTCCATTTCTGAGCTTGATATCCATTCGCGGTTTGTTTTGTTTGATAAAAAGACACTACTCAATAAATCCTGAAAGCTTGAAGTCCCTCTGATTGCTTGAAGTATTTTTCAGAAGCTTCCAAAAGTAGTTTAATAGAAATATTTAAAGATTTTTTGCATTTAAATGAGAAAAAATTCATAATTCCATTTCTGAGCCTGATATCCATTCGCGGTTTGTTCTGTTTGATAAAAAGACACTACTCAATAAATCCTGAAAGTTTGAAGTCTCTTTGATTGCTTAAAGTATTTTTCAGAATCTTCCAAAATTAGTTTGATAGAAATATTTAAAGATTTTTTGCATTTAAATGAGAAAAAATTCATAATTCCATTTTTGAGCTTGATATCCATTCGCGGTTTGTTCTGTTTGATAAAAAGACACTACTCAATAAATCCTGAAAGTTTGAAGTCTCTTTGATTGCTTAAAGTATTTTTCAGAATCTTCCAAAATTAGTTTGATAGAAATATTTAAAGATTTTTTGCATTTAAATGAGAAAAAATTCATAATTCCATTTCTGAGCTTGATATCCATTCGCGGTTTGTTTTGTTTGATAAAAAGACACTACTCAATAAATCCTGAAAGTTTGAAGTCTCTTTGATTGCTTAAAGTATTTTTCAGAATCTTCCAAAATTAGTTTGATAGAAATATTTAAAGATTTTTTGCATTTAAATGAGAAAAAATTCATAATTCCATTTCTGAGCTTGATATCCATTCGCGGTTTGTTCTGTTTGATAAAAAGACACTACTCAATAAATCCTGAAAGTTTGAAGTCCCTTTGATTGCTTGAAGTATTTTTCAGAAGCTTCCAATAGTAGTTTAATAGAAATATTTAAAGATTTTTTGCATTTAAATGAGAAAAAATTCATAATTCCATTTCTGAGCTTGATATCCATTCGCGGTTTGTTTTGTTTGATAAAAAGACACTACTCAATAAATCCTGAAAGTTTGAAGTCCCTTTGATTGCTTGAAGTATTTTTCAGAAGCTTCCAATAGTAGTTTAATAGAAATATTTAAAGACTTTTTGCATTTAAATGAGAAAAAATTCATAATTCCATTTCTGAGCTTGATATCCATTCGCGGTTTGTTCTGTTTGATAAAAAGACACTACTCAATAAATCCTGAAAGTTTGAAGTCCCTTTGATTGCTTGAAGTATTTTTCAGAAGCTTCCAAAAGTAGTTTAATAGAAATATTTAAAGATTTTTTGCATTTAAATGAGAAAAAATTCATAATTCCATTTCTGAGCTTGATATCCATTCGCGGTTTGTTTTGTTTGATAAAAAGACATTACTCAATAAATCCTGAAAGTTTGAAGTCCCTCTAATTATTTGAAGTATTTCTTTTTTTTTTTAGCCAATTGATGGTACCCTTTTTAACAAAGTGCAATTTTTGAGATGTAATTTAAAGATAATTGAAAAAAGTTTTACATTTTTGTAAAGAAGAAAAGTCACGCTTTTTGACGATGATAAAATATACCGGGTGTTTCATCAAGAATAAGGCAGTATGTAATTATTTCAAAAAATCGAATGCCTGTAAAACCAAATTTCAGAATTCGTTAATAACATGAAAAAAAACTTTAAAAAATCCTTGTTCTTCCAGCACAAACTGCATCCCATTATCTTTTCTCGTTTTCGAGATGTTCACCTGTAAAATGTATCAGTTTATCTAAGGACACCCTGTATATCCAAAAATCAACATTATAATTCCTAATGCCTATTTTTAAAAGGCTTCTTCAAGTTAATCTTCTACACCTTCTACTATTCGGGCTTTGGAGTGGCCGTAGTAATAAAATACTTCCTTGGCATTATAATGTCTTTGATGCGAGGCCCGATAATCGAAGAGCCAGTGATAGAAATCAAAGAAGAAGGAAAAATCAGCCATCTAAGAGTCCTACCTCCGCTGCCAGCGACAGAAGACCCGAACACTCAAATTCAAGCTTTCGGAGTCGAAATAACCAAAGAGGACAACGGCCAGTATAAAATGGCTCCGCACGAGTCTCCTACTGGAAGTCAGCCGTCTTCTGGTGAAGGTGAAGGCGAAACTACGCCTGAGGAAGGTGGCGAACAGACCGAAACTGATACTCCGGAACAACCTTTGTCCTTATCTGATTTGTTAGGGTAAGTTTGGAAAGTTTCTTTATAATCAAAAACATTTTCTCGCAGCAAAAATTCAATAACTCGTAGGATTTCAAGAGCTAAAGTCTTTATTTTATTAAAACAATCTTTATTAACTATGAAGATTATCGTTTATTGAACTTAAATTGATTGCTACCATTGTTGATACTTAGCTTCCTTTTCTCCAAGTTATTCAGTTTTCTCGCATTCGCAGGCTTACCCATCAAGCAAATTGTACTAGCTCAAGTGTTGTAATCCAATGAAATCCATGATTCAGGTAAAAACCCTGACAATTGTGAAAATGTTTGGCACTCGAATCGAAAAAAGCCCTATAGTATCACATCTCTCCTTCTGGTTCGATTTCTGTATCTGGACCTTCTTCTCCAGCTTCTTCATCTGGTGGCGGTGGAGCCTCCTCTTCTTCAGGTGCATCTTCAGGTGCTTCTTCAGGTGCTTCTTCCCCTTCTTCTTCTTCAGCAGGCTCCTCTGCTTTGGGTGCCACTTTCTTGGATTCATAATCTTCATCTTCGTCGCCACCGGCACACATATCTTTGACCTTGTCCCAAACAAATTTGCCTACCAGTGCCAGATACCACAGGGACCACATGAAAGGCGGATGTTTGTAGTTGTCCAAATCGCACAAGTCGAAGTCGTTGAGGCCTGATATAGGGCAGTAAAACAACCTTCCATTTTCGTCCAAATCAAAGAAATCCATGATGATTTTTGTAGTAGATTCACTGATAATTTTGTATTAATTTATGTCATTGATAAAATGACAGTGCTGGTAATTGATAATAATCTATTGTTTTTAGAGGGGAACAAGCAAAATTAGCCGCCCAAGAGAAAGCTGAAGCTCAGGCTGCCCAACAAGCGGCCATGCAAGCAATCGAATCGGAAAGTAAGGCTAAAACGACCACTGAACCATCTGCAATGCAGCAAATTAATTTTAGTGCCTATGCACATCGGGCGGTATCGTTTTTGGCCAGGAATTTCTACAACTTAAAATATGTAGCTTTGGTTTTGGCCTTCTGTATCAATTTTATGCTACTTTTCTACAAAGTAAGATTTATTTTGAGTAGTTTTATGGAGATTTATTATATTAATTGTAGGTAACCACAATTGGGGACGATTCTGGTGGTAGTGGCAGCGGTAAAGGTTCAGGAAGTGATATTATTGAAGGTTCTAATGTAGAAGGCAGCGGCTCAGGCGGGTCAGAAGAAGAAGACGACCCTCCTGAGTTAGTTATAGTAGACGAAGACTTCTATTATATGGCTCATGTTATGAGACTAGCCGCACTATTGCATTCTTTGGTGTCTTTGGCCATGTTGATTGCCTATTATCATTTAAAGGTTCCTTTGGCTATATTCAAACGCGAAAAAGAAATTGCCAGACGTCTAGAATTCGAAGGTTTATTCATTGTGGAGCAGCCTGAAGATGACGATTTAAAGTCGCATTGGGACAAATTGGTTATTTCAGCCAAATCTTTTCCGGTTAACTATTGGGATAAGTTTGTTAAAAAGAAAGTGCGTCAAAAGTACAGCGAAACTTATGACTTTGAATCTATTAGTAATCTGCTAGGGATGGAAAAGACTTCATTTCAGCAACAGGAAGCTGATGAAGAGACTAAAAGCATTATTTGGTAGTAAGTATAATAAATTATTATTACTTATAATACATTACATAATTATTTTTGTAGCATTATTAACATTGATTGGCGCTATCAAATATGGAAATCCGGAGTGACATTCACCGACAACTCCTTCTTGTACTCGTTATGGTACTTTGTGTTTTCAATTTTGGGCAATTTTAATAACTTTTTCTTTGCCGCTCATTTGTTGGATGTTGCAGTAGGCTTCAAAACTTTACGTACGATTTTGCAATCTGTAACACACAACGGCAAACAACTGGTACTTACCGTACTGCTCCTAACCATCATTGTATACATTTATACTGTGATTGCTTTCAATTTCTTTAGGAAGTTTTATGTGCAAGAGGAAGATGAGGAGGTTGATAGAAAGTGCCACGATATGTTAACTGTAAGAATTTATTTCCTATTAAACCTTTTACATAATTGTTTTTAATTTTTAGTGTTTCGTATTTCATTTGTACAAAGGAGTGAGAGCTGGTGGTGGTATCGGAGACGAAATCGAACCACCAGATGGCGACGACTACGAAGTTTACCGTATAATGTTCGACATCACTTTTTTCTTCTTTGTGATTATTATTTTGTTGGCTATCATTCAAGGTTTGATCATTGATGCTTTCGGTGAGCTTCGTGATCAATTGGAAAAGGTAATTGAAGACATGGACTCGAATTGCTTCATTTGCGGCCTAGATAAAGGATATTTGGATAAGGTGCCTCACGGTTTCGATACTCACGTGCAAGAAGAGCACAACCTTGCTAATTACATGTAATAGTTTGAGTGTTTTGTTGTTATGTTTGTTAAATTGTGGTTGTTTTAGGTTCTTCCTTATGCATCTAATTAATAAACCAGATACAGAATACACGGGTCAAGAGACTTACGTGTGGAATATGTACCAGCAAAGATGCTGGGACTTTTTCCCTATGGGTGACTGTTTCAGGAAGCAATACGAGGAAGAAATTAGCGGAGGTGGTGGATGATTTCTTCCAGAATTTTTTATGCTCAAGTCTTTTTTTTGTGTAAATAATAAAGCGATCTTAAATGTACAAACTAAGACCGGCCTTATATAATAATTATTTCAATTAATTTCCAGTTTTGATTGAGTCGTTCGAAAAAAATGAATATATTATTGATATTTTATCATTGAAATGGGTTTTATTTGAATAACCTTCTCATCGATTTTAGTCAAGTTTAATTTGACACTAGTTGTTCAAGCCCAACAAAAAAAAAATCTTGTAGGTATGCCAGAAGCATACAGAAATGGAGAATGGTGGTGGATTATCGCAAAGTCAACGAGAAAACTATCAACGATAGGTACCCAATACTTAACATTTCAGATTTATTGGATTAATTAGGACGAAGCAATTATTTCACAACATTGGATCTCGCATCTGGATTCGATCAAGTAGAGATGCATCCAAACTCTAAACCTATAAGACGGCATTTAATGTTGAATATGGACATTATGAGTTTACTTGAATGCCATTCGGACTCAAAAATGCACCAGCAACCTTTCAACGAGTCATGGATAATGTGTTATCTGGATTGAAAAATAAAATATGTCTTATATATAGGTATGGATGACATCATCATATTTTCGACTTCACTTCAAAAACATGTGAAAAAACTTTAACAAGTATTTGAAAGATTACAATATAATCTAAAAATTCAACTCAAGTCCGAATTTTTACAAAGAACAGTAGAATTTTTGGGACATATGATAACGTCAAACGGTATAAAACCTTATCCGAACAAAATAAAGGCAATAAAGGAATTTCCAATTCCAAGAACTGTCAAAGAGATAAAATCTGTCTTAGGATTAGTAGGTTACTACCGAAAATTCATTGAGAACTTTGCTAAATTAACGAAACCAATGACAATATGTTTAAAAAAGGACAAGAAAATAATTCATGATGTGGAATTTATAAAAAGTTTTGAAACATGCAAGAATATCCTGGTAAATGATCCCGTACTACAACATCCTGATTTTAATCGGCCTTTTCTTGTAACAACTGACGCATCAAATTACGCTTTAGGAGCAGTGTTATCTCAAGGCCCTGTCGGCTCTGACCTTCCTATCGCATATGCAAGTCGTGCATTAAACCCTGCAGAATGTAATTACTCAACCGGAAGAAAATTCACTATTTTAACCTTCACAGTGGTTAAGGAACCAACTTCTAAATTGGTAAGATGGTAGGATTAAATATAAAAAAGGAACCCTTAACATGAATGCGGATGCTTTATCAAGGCCACCTTTACAAATAAATACGCTTCAGACATCAGATCCTGATGCGAAAGTAACAGCACAAACTGATGAAGAATTTCACAATAAATTAGGAGATATGTAAAGAGACACACCGTGACGTGACTGTGTGAGTCACGGGACGCTGCTCAGAAAGATGGAGGTCTATGGGTTCCATGGAGAAGCTTTGGAATGGTTTAGATCAATAGCTCTTTCCCACGTGGGTGCAGCATAAAGCATAACCGATTGTACCGTACTTGCCAGTAATCTCCTTTTCGCAGGTCTGGAACCTTCGATTTTGGGAAGGATGCGGCTTAGGCAGTTAATCATTTTATTGGCTTTTTCTGAGATTTTTTCTATTTGTTCAGTCATTTTAAGGTCTTTGTCTAGGTGTAGACCCCCAGATATCTCACTGGGCTTGCAGTTTCGACCAACTCTGTACCGATTATGATATCCAGTTCTTTTATCTTACGTCTTCCTGCGAGGAGCACCATCTCTGTCTTAGCTGTTGCCACCTTTAGTCCCATATCTTTAAGTCTGCTTATAACCCTCGCTACTATTGATTGAGCTCTTTCCTCTAGCGTTACCTTGTCCTTTGCTCTAATAGTCACTGCGAGGTCATCCGCATATGCCACGATGTTCGAATCTCTGCCTAGATTTAGTTTCAAGATTTTAACATAGAATAGGTTCCACAGAATTGGACCTATAATGGAGCCTTGCGGTACCCCGCATGAGACCTCTACCATATCGCCTGCTGGGGTCATGATATTTCTATTTGATAGGTATGACTTTGGTATCCTGATGAAGTCTCTGCTCACTCCGCCTTTAGTCAAAGTGTCGATGATGCTCCTCCAGGGTACCGTATTAAAAGCATTCTCAATGTCTATGAGTACCATCACACAAAAATCTCTGTTTTTGACCGCTTTCCTATTTATGTCTTGTACTATTTTTTGGATGGTGTCTACTGCATCAATGGTTGATTTCCCCTTCTGATATCCAAACTGGTTTTTGTTGATTAGGTTGTTTTCTTCGATCTCTGCCATTAGTCTTCTCTTAATCAGGATCTCAAGAAGTTTTCCTCCTGTGTTGATCAGGCTTATTGGTCTATATGCTTCGATATTTTTCTTGGATTTCTCTATGAGGCACAGTTTCGCTGTTTTCCAGGTTTCTGGGAAAACTCCCTCTAAGAGGCAGTCGTTGTGGCTTTCTTCTTTTCTGTCCTCAAACATTTGGCTGTCTCTCTATCATTTCTCTTGTTCGCTCTTCCCAAATTCCTTCTAATATCCATGCAGTTTCTCCTTTTTTCGGCTATTTCTGTGCTCCACCAGTAAATGGGTCCATGCCTTTTCCGGCCGGTCTTTCTTTTCAAGAACTTCTCGCACGTACTGATCATGAGTGCAGTGATGCTCTCAGCGTTAATGTTGGCCTTGTCCATTGCCGCGATGGAAAAATCTCTCGCCATCGCCGCTAATCGGTCCGGTCTCAAAATCCATCTATTTGTGTTCACTGCTACTTCGTCTTTCAATTTGGTCTTTTTTTCAGGCACTCCGGCTATGTCCCATCTAATAGTTTGGTGGTCACTCATGTTCTCTTCCTCCAGGACTCTCCAATTCGCCACACTGTTTGCCAAATTTTCCGACACAGCCGTGAAATCGATCACCGAGCTGCTATCCCCTCTTACAAATGTTGGCGTACCCTCTTCGTTCATAGTTATCAGGTTGTTTGCCCCAATCCAGTCCTCCAGAAGTCCTCCTCTCTGATTTATGCCTGGTCAATCCTCTTGCCGGGGTCTTAGCATTGAGGTCGCCTCCAATTACCAGCTTCTTTGTATAAGTCGCGGCACGAACATGCCCTTCCATTTCTTGCAGCAATTTTTCAAAATCCTCTATTTCTCCGTTTGGTGAGAAGTAGCACGAGATCACGACGTACTCTCCCAATTCTAGGCAGACATAACCCTTTCCTGAAACGGACTTCCCCAGAGGCAGGTCTGTGGAGGTCTATAAACATAGCAGTCCCAAGGTGGAAAAAAACTTCGGGAACTATATAATAATTAGGTGCTTTTTATGTGCTAATTAGGGCCTCTAATTAAAAATTAGGCGCTCCTCTAGTTTTGGAGAAAATCAAAAAAAGCTAAGGGGCTGCTAGGTTTATAAAAGCTAGCAGTCCCCTATGGTAAAAAATTTTATTTTTTTTTTGTATCAGAGTAAGGTGCTATTTAAGTGCTCCTAAATAGTCGAAGAAAAACTTGAATCAGTTGATTATTAACTAAATTACAGATTTTCTTCATTATTAGGAAATTGTTGGCTTCACTTTTACTTGGTGATGGGTCAAAATAGAAAAAAATTTCGGGGTCTATTTAATAATAATAATAATAATTAGGTACTTTTTGGGTGCTAATTAGGGCTAATAATTAAAAATTAGGTGCTCCTTTAGTTTTTGAGATAATCAATAAAAAGAACAAAGGGACTGCCAGGTTAATGGAAACTAGCAGTCCCCTATTGTAAAAAATATTTTTTCAAATTTTCCTTTTATATCAGTATTAGGTGCTTTCTAGGTGCTTCTAAATAGTCGAAGAAAAAATTGAATCGGTTAATTATTAACAGTTAGAGATTTTTTTTATTATGAGGGGACTACTAACTTTCATAAACCTAGCAATCCCTTAGTTTTTTTTGATTCGGGATCTATTACCTAAAAAGCACCTAATTATATAGATCCCGAAGTTTTTTTCCATTCTGACACATCAACAAGTAGACGTAAAGCCAGCAGTCCCCTAATAATTAAAAAAATATCTGTAACTCAGTTAATAATTAATCAATTCTATTTTTTATTCGACTATTTAGGAGCACCTAAAAAGCACCTAATTCTGATACAAAAGAAAATTTTGAAAAAATATGTTTTACTATAGGGGACTACTAGCTTCCATAAACCTAACAATCCCTTAGTTTTTTTTTATTTTCTCAAAAACTAGAGAAGCACCTAATTTTTAATTAAAGGCCCTAATTAGCACCTAAAAAGCACCTAATTATTATATAGATCCCGAAGTTTTTTTCCATTCTGACACACCAACATGTAAACGTAAAGCCAGCAGTCCCCTAATAATTAAAAAAATATATGTAACTCAGTTAATAATTAGTCAATTCTATTTTTTATTCGACTATTTAGGAGCACCTAAAAAGCACCTAATTCTGATACAAAAGAAAATTTTGGAAAAATATTTTTTACTATAGGGGACTTCTAGCTAGCATAAACCTAGCAGTCCCTTAGTTGTTTTTTTCTTTAGGGGTTTCTTACTACCTTCAGGGACTTTTTAAAGGCCGTACACCTCCCCGTATTTGCTCTGTGGCCCTTTGTCTCGCATACTGGGCAGCTTTCCTCCTCTGTGCAGGCCTTTGCCTGGTGGCCCTCTCCTCTGCACCTGTAGCAGGAGTTTGACCTATCCGGTCCTAGACACTTTGGGCTGTTGCTCCCGGCTATACCTTAAGGGATATTTAATCTAAGTAGAGCTTCGAAGGTGACTTTTGTTTCTACAAAAGTCACATTCAAAGCTCCATTTAGAATAAATATCCCTTAAGTTATAGCGGTGCAAAAAGCCGTAAGACTAGAAGAAGCAAAAGAAGACTTCTAAATTTTATGGAAACCGCTCAGAAATGGCTCTATGGTACTTTAGATGCCGAAGATGGTGCTAGATACGATGGAAATAGCGATATTGATTCTCTTTGTGGGAAATATAATTTATTTAAAAGGAATCGAGTCTTATTATAAATATTTGTGCCCCTAAAAAAAGTAGCTTAGGTAGGTATGTCACTTTGAGAAAATCAAGTCACATTCAGTGTTGCCAGATCTCACGATTATTCGTAAGATTACAAGATTTTGATCAGAATTTCACGATCTCACGAATGAGGTAGCAAATCTCACGAATTCTCTCTATAGTAATACAAATCAGTAATCAAATATAATGTAATCGGAAATAATCGAAATAAAAATCTACTATACAATATTTAGTTATGTTACGCCGCTCCTCTGGTACATGCGCGCTCAAGAACACTTTATCTAATAGCACGGCATATACAAAAACAATCAGCAGGCTAACTTGAGCTTTGTATCCCAAAATGGCGGCGTGCGCAGATGATATGGTCGTTAAATCTCATTGTTTTGCCATTTAAAGATAGGCTGTATCCTCGAATGGTGGCGTGCGCAGAAGAGATGCGCGTGAGAGTTAACCTGCTGTTTGTTTTTGTATATCCTGTGCTAATACGACTGTTTATTGAGCTGAAAGTGTCTGCGAAGTCCACGAGACCCCACTATTTGTGACGTCAGCTGCAGACCTCAACTCTTGGCAGAAAATGCATTATCCGAGTCTAAAAAAACGAATTCATAAACGTTGAAATCGCCTTTTCCTAATTTAAAACTCCCAATAAAATTAACTCACAAGCATAGCTTGAATCGCAAGCCATCCATCGAGGTCTGCGGGTGACGTTAGTAGTATCAGTTCCTGATAGTAGTGATGTCACTCGCAGACCAGCTGCCGACTCGAGAATTGGCGAACGTACACTTTTTTAGGATAAGCAATCCTGCGGATAATGAAAACGAGGTTCGGCTCTCAGAAACACCTGCTAAAAAACGGAAAAAACAAGGATATAAGATTTAATAATAAAATTTCAATATCTTATGGATGTAAAATCATGTCTACTCTTTCAAAAATCTATAGAAGAACATTGTGCATTATTTTCTTACAAGCAATTTTAGGTCTCACGATTTTTCTTTATCGATTCTCACGAATTTTTTTTATTTCATCTGGCAACACTGGTCACATTGAGCGACATTTCATTTTTTTTTTTTTTTTTGGGGTAAATGCTGAAGAGATTTGATTGAAATTTGGCAAATAGAGAGAGAAAAGATAGAGATTTAAGAAAAAAAAAATCCTCCTGCTCGCTAATCTTGTTGAAAATTGAATTGAAGTCAATAGACTTTGGAGCTTGGCTTGCAGCTATGAAACTAGAAAAGCTGCATTGTAGAGAATTCAATTGGTTTCAATTTGAGCCTAATTACGTTAAAATCGGATTGAAATTAACAAAGTTATGAGACAAAATATGAGTCAATGTTTCTTGACCAATTCCCTACAAATCATCTTTCCACATTTTTGTGTTCCTGGTACGAAATTTTGCTATTTTCAAAACGCTGTTTGATTTAAGCCTAATTATGTTGAAATCGGATTAAAATTAACAAAGTTATGATGCAAAATGTATGGCAACATAGGTAATGAGAGTGATCAATAAACATTGACTCATATTTTGTTTCATAACATATGAGTGAGGAGTTAAGTTTCACATCCCAAATCTCTATTGAAATGTTTAATTTTCGCGAGTCCTCAATAAGCTGACACTCAATTTGCCTACAACACCAAAAAATTCTAATCTCCTACCAAACAAGGAAAACTGGTATTCTGACCCCCTGGGTGTCTTTGCATTTATAACAAGTCTACGTATATACTTATAACATAAGCTCTTTGCTGGTCAGTTTTAAGATGGTTCTCGCGCGCGGATCGATTATTTTACTACTACTGACAGTAATAAACGTAGACGCTAAAATCTACGAGCGGTGCGAATTGGCACGCGAATTGAGGAATTTCGACTTGCCAGAAGATGAAGTGCCCACCTGGATCTGTATTGCTGAGCACGAGTCCAACTTCGATACCGGAGCGATGAATTTGGGCAGCGGCGATCACGGATTGTTCCAGATTTCTGAAATTTATTGGTAAATGATAAAAAACTACAGATTGAGCTTTTGGAAAAGCAACCTCTATGTAATTGTTGTGTACGTTATTGCTTGTAAAATCGTGAAAATTTGATTTAATTCTAAAATAATAAATAACATCTTTGCCTTGACATTTTACCTTTAATGAGAATTATAAAGAAAAATCATTGATAGGCAATTAAAAATGTCAAGTTCGATTTTATATGAAGACTCAATCGTGCCTAATAATTTAAAGAAAGTTCAAATAAGCTAATTTTCAAGTTATTGTTACTTAATTGATATAACAACAATCAAAACACTTGATAATTTGGTTATTATAAATGATGATAACTTTTTATTAATTACAAAATTTATTTAATTACATACTGCCTTTAGTTTTTAAGGAAAAATATGGTCACACCTATTATTAACTAGTAGTGATTAATTAATGATTTACTATTAGATAATTTGCCTAAAAGAATTTTTTATTTACAAAAATATTAATATATAATCATGAGACAATTATTAGCATGTACATATTTTAGTATAAATTATTCAAATTAAGATACCTATATGATTTGTGACTGTACATTTAACTGTATAACTCTTGTAACTGTAATCAATATTAAGATGTTTTGGAGCAATCTACAGTTAGTTTAATTGTTTATTATTTATAAATACTTATCAGATTAACTTTTAATCTCAATATATTTGCTAATTAATTAGGTACTTAATAATTAGATGTTTCATGCAAAGGTATTATTATCGGCTACTTGTTATTTCTAGGTGTTCGCCTCCCGGATACGGTTGCAACAGTCCTTGCTCAAAATTTCGAGACGAAAACATTGCAGATGATCTACAATGTATCCGAAGAATCTACAACGAACATACTAGAATTTCTGGCAACGGCTTCGATGCTTGGGTGGTTTATCCTTTGCATTGCAAAAATATCACTTACGATTTCATCCAAGATTGTTTTGACGAAAACGCACCCTATAATTCCACTACTGATAACGAAATTTCTACTGATGAAGATTTGAATGGAGATGGATATAATTTTCCTGCCTTGCCAAATAAAGACGATGGCGACGGTTACGAGTTTCCCAAACTACCAACCAGAGAGCAAAAAGCTCTATTACCATTTTACAAAATATATTATGAATTTCCAAAGTTTCCTGCCGACAAAGATTCTATTCATCATTCAGTTTCTGCATATAACGATATCAAAACAAATCCATTTTTAAGCGGTAAAATCGCAGCAAGAGGCTCTATTCATGACTCTATTTCAGTTGGAGAATATTTAACAAAATCTATAAGCAATAATATCAAAACAAACCCATTTTTGAATGGTAAATTCTCTATATCTAAAACATCAATTTATGATTCTGTGTCGCTGAAATCGAATCCTTTCTTGAATTCTCATAAACAATATGATATTGATTTTGATATTGAATCGACGTCGGACAATGAAATTGAGGTCTCTACAATGTCTACTAGTAAGGAACATGTTTCTAGACCAGAAATCCCAAAGCCTATTCAAGGAAATCTATTTTTGACTGAATATTCTACAGCAACTTCTTCCACAAAATCTCAAATTTTTACTAGTAGAACTTCATCAAGAACAAAAAGTCCAACTTCTTCTACATCTGATAAAAACACCAAATCTTCGGTGCCATTTAAAACTTCGACTGTATCATCGAGTTTTTTCACTAGACCACCATTATCAACCACCCATAAAGCTCCAACAACTGTATTTCAAAGCAAAGTAACTTCTAGAACTCAAAAATCAGGTTCATTTGCTGTGGCTTCAAGGCATTTAAATAGTTCAGCAATTTATACTACAACCTCAAAACCTTCTACATCTTCTTCAACAACTAGAAAAGCATCAACTACGATTGTAAACTTACAACCTTTTACTAAAACCAGTAGAACATCAACTAACTTCCATATTAATGCAAAAATTTCTACCACAACAACAAAATCATCTATTTCAACTACTGCAAAACCAGCTTATCATTCGAGTTCATCAACTACCTCTAGGAAACAATTTGGTTCCTTTACCAGAACCACAACGGCTGATTTAGAAGCTGCTAGCTCAACCTTTACGCCCCGCTTCACCACTCCCAAACCATTTTATTCCAATTCTGCAACAACAGTAAATCCGTCAGAACGTCAAGTAACCTTTGCGCCAGACTCGTGGTTCAGTTGGTTGTTCAGCACTCAAACTTTGCCTCCTTTGGTGGCACCGCCGAGACCTGGCAGCAGGCCTGAGGGCTCAGGCCCATCACCTTTGAGACCTACAGGAGGTCCTTTCAATTCTAGTACCACAAGAAGGCCTTTACCAAGGCCTACACATCTACTGCCAGGAAATTCTAGTACCACAAGAAGGCCTTTACCAAGGCCTACACATTTACTGCCAGGAAATTACAGTACGACAAGGAGACCTTTACCAAGGCCTACACATTTACTGCCAGGAAATTACAGTACGACAAGGAGACCTTTACCAAGGCCTACACATCATCTTCAGCCAGGAAGTTTCAGTACGCCAAAAAAACCTACACATCTACAGCCAGGGTCTTCTACAACTGTTGTAGAGTTTATTACAACTAGGAGTTCTTCACCAAATGTCGATAGAGTTACAAGAAGACCAATGCGTTGGCAACAAAGACCTCATCCTCCTAGAAGACACCCAGTGCAGCTCAGAAGTGATGAAGATGGTTATGAGGAAGTGCCAATCGACGAGCATGTAGTTTATTTGAGAAGCAAATACGGTTTTCAATTATTTCGTGTTTAGCATCATTTTGTAGCGGGAAATTAAGACTGATTTTAATTTGCTCAATAAATGGTTTTCTTTTTGTTAGTTTGGTGGTTGTTTCATTTAATATCACTGATTATACCAAAAAACTTCCATTCCATATTGATCTCTTGATGGAAACTCTTGTAGATTGCATTCGGGAGTCGTTACAGTTTGTTGAAGCCGCTCAAGCACTGCTACCTTATTGGATATTTTGTACGTGACTCTGTTTTCAATTCGTGTCCAAGATTTGTAGGCCTGTCCTAAAGAAGACCAGCTGGTAAAGCGTTCACCTCTTGGGGTGTTAGCCGCACCTTTTGCAGAAATAAGCAGGGCATTCATAAAATAAACGTTTCTGTTGCCTGTTCGGAAGATCTGCACAGTGGCAGTTGTTTGATTTGCTATTGTTTTCAAGTGATATTTCGCCAGGCAATACTCACTGAGCAGACTGACGACTCTTCTGTTTATGTCAAGAAGTTGTTCCAATTTCTTTGCTGAGATGGATGGAGGCTCTTAGTTTTATCCAAATTATATTCTAATGACTCATTTTTAATTTTTCTTCCAAGGTACCTATTCAACTTGCGTTGTTGTATGTTTTCATGGGTAATAATTTCCATTTTGAACTTGAAACTTTCAAACTAACGCTATTCATTTCAAATTATATTTTTTAATATAAATTTTTTTCGTATCTCAGATTGTCCCACTTCAAGCTTATCTAGCTTTTCTAACAATCTGCAGGTGTACCTATTTAAAAGATACAGGTGCGTTTTTCAATGATACAAATACCATGAAGCAAATTAAAAAATCAGTGCCAATAAATCAAATAATGCCTGGCAAAATCTTTGAATCCAAACTAATTCATGTTATGTAAACGTTTCGAAAGCACATGGAAACCTAATAAATCAAAAATAACAACACATAATCAGTCATCTTCAAGATAATCTTTATCTTTTCGAGAGGCCCCTTGTGTATTTTCACCTTTGTATTACAATAAATAAGTCGCTATTGCTATCGATTAACGTGAACATCTCGGGCCCCAAAAACATGCGACTCCCTTGTTGTTCGGCCCGTATGGTCATTATCTTGGCCGTTTTGGCCACTTTAACTTTCGCCGGTGCTTTGCTATTGTGTTTTTGGGGCATACCGTTGGTCATTAGAGAACAAATACATCAGGTAAGAAATTTTAAAGTAATAATTGCATTTCAGATACTTTTTTCAGCAAACCAGATTATCGGAAGGCACGGAGCAATGGGACAGGTTTCTTGAGCTACCTTTTGCACTAAACTATTCAGTGAGATTCTTCCTTGTTCAAAATCCTAGCGAGGTGGTTCATAATGGTTCGGTGCCTGATTTGAAGGAAAGCGAACCATATACCTACTCGTAAGAATTATAAATAAAACTCAAACAAGAAATGATGTTTTTATTATATATTATAGGATGAAGCTTAAAAAATTGGATCACAGATTTGATGATAACGATGAAGACAGTGTTACGTATCATAGAGAGTTTGATTTTGCTTTTGATTATTCTGGTAATACTCATCCAGAGACAATGGTTACAATTATAAATCCTCTTCTTATGGTAGGTAACTAATTAACTTTTTAAAATTTTAACTCTAATTTGAACGATTTTATAGGCTGCTCTTCAACTTGCCAATTCTTTGGAAAGATTGGCTTTTGCCGGTTGCATAGACCAATTATTAGGGTCTGCAAGATTAGATAAACCAATTACAACTCAGTCTGTAAAAAAGCTACTATTTGATGGAGTAAATTTCGGATTTACAAACGAAACTGGAGCGGCTTGTACTGCAGTTAGAAATAGGATTATACCGCTTTTAAAAGACGTACGTGTCGTTGAAGAAGTTGAAGAAGAAACTACCGGAACTCGGTATTTTAGAATAGCGTTTTTTAATTATGTGAGTTGCATCAAAATTTTTATTTAATGCACTTAATAATGTTTTAAATGTAGAAAACTATAAACTACCTGAAAACACCCCCTGACGGAATTTACACAGTCAACCGAGGGCAAAGAAACATGTCAGCTCTTGGCAAAATAATGAGATGGAACGGAGGAACAACAATTCCGACGTACGGAACAGCAAGTTCTACAAATAATGAAACTTGCCATAATCTTAGGGGTACAGATTCCACGATTTATCCTCCGTTTCTCCGAAAAGATGAACCGATAGTGATTTATAATACAGATATATGTAGGTAAGATCTAAATTTATTAACATCTATATTATTCACCAATACTTGTGCAAAGATTTGACCAAATCTTTTGGATTGGTACTGGGTCCGTATCTCTCTACAGGTTGTCCATTTTTATCCACAATAAACTTGGTAAAGTTCCATTTTATAAATTTCCCTAAGGTACCGCCCTGCTTGTGTTTCAAGTATTTGAACAGCGGATGAGCTTCATCCCCGTTAACGTTAACTTTGTCAAACATATCAAAGTTGACGTTTTTCTTTGCGACGAATTCACAAATTTCCTCGTTGGTGCCTGGTTCCTGACCCCCGAATTGGTTACAAGGAAAAGCTAAATAATGATTTGAGATTATATAAACGATCAATGGAATTAGACGAGATTATTTAAGATTAATTGCTTACCTAAAATGCACAATCCTTTACTCTCGTGAAACTGATCGTACAATTCTACAAGTTCGGCATAATTGTTCTGAGTGTAGCCGCATTCTGAGGCAACATTTACGACTATGCAAACTTGCCCCTTGTACTTGTCCAGCTTCACTGGTTCTCCTTTGATATTGGAAGCGGAAAATTCGTAAATGGATTTTGCTTGTTGGTAGTTTTCCGGATTGGACATCGTCAACGAAGCTGCCGCAGCTGAACTGGATAAACGATACGACTTGACTGCGTGGTTTACCAGTCGAAATAATTGTGAAAACATTATTTTTAATAATTTAGTTGCTGGTTATTTTGGTTTAAAATGAGGTTAGGTTTTTTGAGACACCGTTGCCAGACCACTTTGTTCCTCTGCATATCTAATTTATCAATAATTTATGTATAGCTTGTGTTACTCATTTTTGAAGATGTTTTTTCTTAATGGGGCTTCTAGCATTTTGCACTTTCCAAATTTAACGGTCTTTTGATTTAAACTTTAACGATATTTAAGTATAAAAAATGGCCGATTTTACACAGAGTACAAACACATAACCTCAAAAGAAATAGCGTTTTCATTTCGATAAAAGAATTTTGTTCAGGAACTGACCTAAAGTGACCCCAATAATCAAAACCTTTTCAAGACACCGTTGCCACTTGCCCTGCACTTGCCAGACCAAAAATGTTCTTCTGTATCTGATTTATCAATTATTTAGCTTGTGTTTCTCATCTTTGAAAATGCTTTTCCTTTTTCGGGGCTTTCAGCTCTTCACACGCTTAAATTGAATGGTCTTAACTCTTAATTTGAACTTAAATAAGATATTTAAGTATAAAAATGGTCGATTTTTCATGAAGTACTGACACATAATCAAAAAATAGCGTTTTCATTTCGATAAAAGAATTTTGTTCAGGAACCGACCTGGAGTGACTCCAATAATCAAAACCTTTGTGAGACACCGTTGCCACTTACTTTCGCACTTGCCAGACCAAAAATGCTCTTCTGTATCTAATTTATCAATTATTTAGCTTGTATTTCTCACCTTATTTGAAGCAGGGACCCGGATCGGAACGATATTGAACCGAAAATCGTAACGGAACCGTTTTATTTTGCCTACCGGAACTGGAACGAAACCCATATCTTGTAGAAATGTTGTAAGGTAGACCGAACTGGAACCGATATAAATTAATCGGTTCTTATACCGGTATTTTTCGGTTTCAAGATTTTATTAATTGAACTGTTTGGTGTTTGGTCGTAACGTAATAAATTAAACACTCTAATGGCCGTTTGCACCCCCATAAAAAACAGAGCGTTGAAAAGCGCAAATATCTGAACTCCGCTAGGCTACACCAAGGATATTACACACTACTACAGCATTGCTCATCGACCTCGATTTTTGGAATCAAGTTCATATGGTGTTGCACCGTTTTCGACGTCATCAACGATGTTGTTAGCGGTTTGCGCCAGCGGTCGCGGTTAAGAATATATTATCTATTCACAATCCGATGTTCAAAGGTAAAGGTAAAATTTATCACCTTTCAGTGCTATTTAATAAGGAAAGGTGATAAATTTACCTTTACTTTTGGACTACGGATTGTGAATAGGATATACCTACATTTATGATGGAAAATATTATTGTCAACTACTTAAGTGAATACCACTCTGTACATTAATTTTACTAAAGTGTGTCGACGAGTCAGCATTTATTTGGTATAAATATAAATACAGCGCCGAAATTCATTACCGGCAGACTAAGGCTAGTGCGAACTACCTCTAATGGGAAAAGCCCTTCTAGCTAAGTCTCCTCCCAGTTCTGGACCTGTCTCAAACCCAGTTTCAGTCTTCAGTCACGCCAAGTGTACAGGGTACATAATTAATACAGAGTGGCCCTTAAGTAGTACGTCCCTCCGTAGAAGAGACGTCATGAGACCATTTCTAGGGTAATAACTATTATTAATCAATACACATCTTATTATAAATACCTATACCAAGCGAGTTTCTCTCTAGCTGAACCCCACCTACACCCCCAAGTCACGCTTCTGTTGTGACGTCCCAGGACGAAACGTATAGGGGTTGTGACATTAGAAAGTTCTCGTGTCTCAGACGCTACGCTAATACGGTACCGCTAATAATACGGTATTTTATATGGTATTTTATAGTTCTCGGACACGAAAACGTAAAAATCCTCTAATCCCTTATTCAGTTTAAATTTTGACAGCCGAGTTGAGTAATCTAACCCAACTTTTTTTGCTTGTTTTCTAATTTTTACTTATCCTAAAGATTCCTGAGCTTGATTAATTTTCCCTTGGTGTTTTTTATCGAGGAATTATTAGAAATTACTGTTTTTGCAGACGTAAATGGAGCGTAAACTAATTTTGACATAGAATAGCGTTACGGTAAGGCATCCGCTAAGTGCCGTTAGGTAACGGGCTCCGCTAACGCTAATACCGTAAAAACTGTCATACTTGTCAAATAGCGTTACGGTATTTCAAATTTGGACAGCACGAGAACTCTCCATTATTTAATATTGATTAACATAATAGGCAAAGAGGGAGATGCAAACGAGATCGTCGAGATCTGAACAAGGGTTGTTTAAGAATGTTAAATAATGTAATATGTATTAAAACTAAAACCAAATATGCATATAAAGCAAAAATCATTGCAATCATAACCTGTCGTGCAAACACCCTACGTCAAGGCCTACGTCATCACTGGAACTTTGGTGTGGTAGGGGTGTAACAGAATTAATGTTAATTTTCAAATCTCGGTTCAAGTTTTAAGAAATAGATAAAAATTTATCTTAATGGGTTTTACAAACATATGGCGATTCTGGGAACGATATAACTAATCTGGTCGAGAATTGAGGAAAAACACTTAAAGCCAAATGTATCAAGTTTTATTAGTTTTCAAGTCGAAAATAAGCCAAATTGACAAATTTATTAGGCAAAATTATGTGTTCTCCTAGATTAACGCCAAATGTGATTCTAATCTGCAGCTGCACTAGATTACGACATATGGTTGTAATAAAGTACCCAAGAACGATATAATTCCCGTTTTATGGTCAGATAACTTATATTCGAAGCATGTATGTGTTTGGGCTAAAACAATGATCACGGAGACCCGATTTTCCAAGATATAATAACACGAAATTGTATAGAATAGGAAAATCAAAGGAGATAGTTAACTATCCAATTATTTTAGACATAAATTAGTATTTAAGTATAGAATAATTTAATTCATTTAACACCTCAACTAGCAATTATATTTTATAATTTTTAACTCTCCGCTGCTATTTTATTCTATAATTAGTTTATTACTGCTCGTCGAATGCCATTTGTTTTATTAAAATTGCAAGCGAGATAATTAAGCTTCCAAGAAAGTATTCTGCTCTATAAGGTAGTCGTAAGAACGTTCTTGGAGCAAAAATACAAAACAGTTCGGTAACAAGTTTTAATATTGTTTTATGAACGTTTGCACAATGATTTTATATGACATTTTAGCTCACCGAACAAATCTGTTTTATATTAGATTTATATTGATGTTATCTGATACTAGTTCATTAGTTGACGTACATCTATAAAATTGTTTTATTAGCGCTATGTGAAACATTTATAAAATTAGTTTACTAATATTTTCTTGGGATATTATTGCTGTCTAAAGCATTTTACATTCAGATGGAATCTTGAGAAGAATATTATATAATTATCATGAGCTCTGTCATATTAAAGGCTGTATATAATAATTATAAAACAAAGAAACTGTTTGACTAGGTTAAAAGAAAGCATATAGAATGTAGGATTTTCCAATTAAGGGGAAAACAGTTATTGCAGTTATCGAAATTATATTTCCCATATGACTAGCGAACTCTGTTGGAGGGCTTTCAAACTATATCACTAAGGGTGCAAATAGAATGAACAATATGAGAACCAATGGGAACACGGCAAGAAACCAAAGGGTACTCTCAGCGAATCGCTGAAAGCTAAGAGGGTTGGAGATCCTCGATTCTAGCAAGCCGGGTACGGAGGGGAGCCAATGGGCTTCTAAAGTGGTACCCAGAGGGTAATTCCTTTCGCCTATTTAAGCACATGTAGAGGCCACATAACTTCAGTTATCGCTAATTCGCAACTAGTTTTTACTACGAGTGATCGCTGGAAATTTAAGTCGCAAAGTTTCAACGAGTTCTCGATCCGTTTCTCATCATCTAGTTCTGCCGCCCTGTGTTTTAGTAGAAGTTCTCCAAAGAGGTGATAGTTGTTATTTTTTTTAATTTCAATTCCAATAAAGAATCAGATTTGGGAACTAAACCTTTTAATTGGGAAATTACTCTTTGCTTTCAATTGTCTTTAATTTTTCTTCAGTTAAAAATTAATTATGGTCTTAAATAAGGTAATTTTTTTTTTGTTCTTTTTTTATATTTTACTTAACCTTTTTTTTTATTATCACTAAATAATTAACACTGACTTTTCTTTTCGCTTATAAATAAATTAGTTTAATCTTTCAAAATTACTCTTTTCTTTTCTGGTTTTAAAATTCCCTCTAAAACACTGGTGGACGCGTAAAAAGTTCTTTCGTGCCGGTTTGTGCATTTGAGAAGAGAAGCAACATTGGCAATAAAAAGGTAAGTCTTCTTGAATTTATAACCCTTTGCACTAACCAAAACCGAAGAAGAAGAGAAATAAGGTTTTGTTTGGATTGCCTCCGGTTCAGAAAATTTGGTATCCCTTTTCAGAATAAATTTAATTACAGCATAATTATGGTACCCACGCAAACTAAGATGTGACAGAATTATTCACGCTACCAAAATGTTTATTCTTCGTAAGGCTTGAAATTTTTATTTATTTTTGTAATAATAATATTTATTATTTATTTAAAAGTCCATTCGCATGACAATGAAACACCATTTACAGTTTGTATTTTTCAACAATAATAATTATTATTATTAAAGTTGTTACAGATAGGCAGAAAAATCCAATAAAAAATAAACAACAAATTACAGAAACATAAATTTTTCTGTTAGATATTTGTGAAAAACTATACAGGTATATGAACCGTTGAAACCTTGGATTAGTTAAAACCGAAATTATTGATCCGAACCTTAGAGCAGGTAGAGGTAAAGAGGAGTAGTAACATGGAGTTGGAACATGAAGCCGTTTTTTTCAGGTATTTTGGCACCAAAAATTGGCAGGCAATCTACTGACCTGTCAAAAACGAAATTCAATATGGAAGTTCGGGTCAAACATTGGGTCAAGCACTTGGGTCAAGCACGGTGTTGTTTATTCTGTTTGTCATTGATTCTGTCACATTCTGGACAAACGTCATTTGAATCATCGGATTTTGTGTTTTTTTGTGTGTTTAGGTATTGTGTTAATTAAAATGCCAGCGATTTGCATCGTAATTGGGTGTGGAAGTCGAGGTAACAGGGATAATGTGAAATTTTATTAAGTTCCTACTACTTTAAGTCAATGGCTTTTGATCTACAAATATGAATTATCAAAACAACGCAGGGCTTAATGGATTGCTGCAAGTAAAAGCTCGATTTTCCCCTAATAATAATACCTTATTAATAAATTAAAAAATACGTAGAAACACTCTATAAACACTATAAAATTCACTTTGAAAACAACAAGGGCCAGAACACTAAAAAATACGTAGAAATACTAAATACTATAAAATTCACTATGAACACAACAATGAGAAATACGTAGAAACACATAAAATTCACTTCGAAAGCAGCAAGGGCCAGAATACAAATGCTCTTCTTATGAATGTCAAACGTCACCGGCTTGTCACCGCAATATTTGACCAAAGATTTGACCCGAACGGCCATTATAAAATCACGTGATTGAGATTGCATAATTCCAAGGCATAATTCAATGCTTTACCTGTATTTTGGTGCCAAACACCTGTCAAAAACTTGGCTTCACTTGTTTCATAAGCAGAATGGCGCGTTCCTACTCCTTATGTCCTTTACCTGCTCTAGGTCAGAACCGAATCGAAATACTTCTCTTAGAACCGGAACCGTAACGGACCCGATATTTATGATGACGCTGTGGATCGGAACCGTTATTTCATCTTCATTTCGGTCCAGGTCCCTGCTTTGCAAGGCCTGCTGCTTTGACTTTGAAGAAGCTTTTTCTTCTTCATGGCTTCCAGCTCTTTACAGTCCTAATTTAATGGTCTTGACTCTTAGTTTAAACTTAAGCAAGGTTAAAAATGGCCGGTTTCACACAAAGTACAGACGCATAACCTCAAAAAGAATAGCGTTTTCATTTCGATAAAAGGATATTGTTCGGGAACAGACTTAAAGTGACCCCATAATATTTTTGTACTAAGGGTCGAATTTATAGTCATTCCTTGAGTCTGCCTTAAAGGTCGTGAGTTTAGAATGGACACTTGGTACTATTTGACAAGTTAGTCATGTCAATTCTAAACGTTCAAGGCTTCCTTAAGGTCCAAGGAAACCTCAAGGAGCTACTATAAATTCGGCCCTAATAAATGACTTTTCCTTTTTTCCAGAACCGTAGAACTATTTCAAACAAATTCAAATCTGGAATACAGAGGAATATCGGGCGCTCACAAGTACGAAACCAACGAAAACCTACTTAGACCTGCGACAGTTACGCCGGAACAAGATTGTTACTGTTCAAAAGCTACTAAAAATGTGGAAGCCAAAGACGATTGCTATTTGGACGGTACTTTCGATTACAAGCCTTGTCTCGGAGCTCCTGTGATCCTTTCGCAGCCGCATTTCCTAAATGCCGATCCAAAGTATGGCAAAAATTTCACTACTCTTAAGCCTGACAAGTCCAAACATGCGATGTATCTTATTGTGGAACCTGTAAGTAGTAGGTATAGTTAATAATTTTATGCTAATTTGAATATTTTGCAGAATACTGGTACTCCTTTGGAAGGTTTAAAAAGAGTCCAAATTAATACAGTTTTAAGGCAAGAGCCTCTAATTTCATTTATCACTCCTCCCACCATGTATCAAGGTATTATTCCAGTTTTGTGGTTGGAAGAGGTAAGTCAAGGCAAGTTTTATAATAAAAGGAAGTTTAAGTTAATTTTTTTTTCAGTCATTCAGTATACCGGACAAGTATCTTGATTTATTGGACAATCAATACTTCAAAAAAGTGAAACTGGCCACAACATTCAAATACGGTTTTGTTGGTGTTGCTGCAGCAATATTTACTGGATGCCTATTTTTATTTGTTAGAAAGCAATTTTTTAAAAAGAAAAGCAATTAAACTGTTATTTTCAGGCATTTATTTTATAAATAAATGATTTATTTGTTTAAATAAACCAAAAGTAAAGAAAATTTTACTAAATCGATGAGTAGTTTTAAGTTAAACCGAACAGATGTCGCGAATGGCTATAATTATTTGATTATTCCGTGCCAAGACTCCAAATCCAAGGTCTGGAAAAATGGAGGCGTCGCGACGGAGGCAGCGTCTATTTTAAAAATCCATAAGTTGTGAAGTAATTATCTCGGTATTTTTGTTTTTCTTTAGTTTTTCTGGATGTCTAGCTTATAAGGTAAGTTTAAAAACCCATACCTATATTTACAGAGAAAACATCATTATACCTATTAATTTATTTTTTAGTTATTAATCTAATAATAATTGTTAATTTAGTTTATATATTAGGGATTATTATTATTAATCTATTGTTTTATTTTGCTAATTGATGCGAATCAATTATATTTAAATTGAGTGCAGCAGTTGAAAAATTAAGATGGAATTTAAGCAATGTTTATGTAATCACTTATTATTTTTAATTTGGCATAAGGATGCTCATCACGACGTTTTATTATCTGTGTAGGTGGTCGGAAAAATTGTTATTCAAATTAATTGAGTACCTAGACAACATAATCTGGACTATGAATTATGAATTCAATCAACACAATAAGCTTTATGTTGAGACTCACTTGATATGGTTAATTACTTTTGAATTATTTAAAAAATATCCGATATACCTACCTAATAATAAACAATATATTTATCAAGAAACTGTGTGTACTTTGTATTTTGAGGCAAAATAATGGAATTTAGACTCAATTAAAGTAATGGACTCTGCTGGAATATAATTGAAATTGCTCTTTTATCATCCCATCTCTATCAGTTTTAATTGAATTAGGTCCCCATAAAAAAAAAAAAAAAATTGACCAATTGCTCTCCCTATGGCCTCAATTTATTTCACTTTGGATATTTACCAAATCAATTTGCATTAATCAAATGATTTACATATACATACAATTACGTCACTGGATTAATTAACAATGGGTTTTAATTTTGTCATAAGGCTTTTTTACTGTATCAGTTTTTTTTTTCTAATTTGAATTGTAAATATCCAGCGATAAACTAAGAAGCCTAATAAGAAAGTGCTTAATCAATAATGTGAGATCTTTACATCAAAGAGAGAAGGTTTAATTCAAAAGATAATTACATTGCAAAGAGAAAATTCAGATCATTCAATTTTTTTAAAATTACTGGCTCTTGGATTTGCTGGACAATTTTTCTGTGGCTGAATAAAAATTTGGATTACTACTGTGGCTCTAGAAAAGCTGCTGAGGCCTAAATGCTGCTGAAATAGAGCTGCGTCAAGTTAGCCCCCCACATTCAAATTTTCTAAAAAAATTGCAACCATATTACTGTGCTCGAAGTGTGCTTTACTGTGCCGATGATATTTTGAACTGTGCCGTTTCGATAACAAAGTTATAAGAAAAAATAGATGAGGGGCTAAACTTATTGACGCTCAGCCCCGCCAAAATTTTGGAAATCAGACGAAACCAAAAAGGATTCTTATGCAATCTGAAGTGTGCTGAACTGTGCTGTATCAGGTTTTTCTCAAAATTTCCATATTCAATCATTCGACAAAGGTCCTAACAAAATTAAGTCCAGAAACATAACCTGTAAAATCACGATTCTTAGTGGGAGTGTGTTCCGTTTCCAACCTTAGTTGCAGTTATACGTTCCGGTGAAAATGGTTGTCACCGATACAACCGGCTATCGCTGAAAGTTTTTTCGGTAACTGTCGGCTATTATTTTGTTGTTTATTTTATACAGGGTGGGGACTTCAACTGGAACTAATTCGCTAGAGCCTTCGCATAAAATATGTGGACAAAACGCAAAAATACGTCGATTAAGAGTTTTTGCTTAAGATTTTTTCACATGTATTTTGTTATACAGGGTGTTCCAAGAACAGCTGTACGAATATCAGCTTCATTTTTTTAAATGGTAGCCCCTGTATATTATGAAATGTCTGGATTCTGCGGAAAATTCTAGACATATTTCATGTATAATGTCATATACCTATCTTCAACTGTTTCGGAAATATTCACAGTTGAAAATTGACTTTTTTGCCAACTTAGACCTGCTGACGAAATTTTTAATCATGGACTAAATTCAAAGTTGATGTCAAATGATAGTTTACGAAAAACTAAGATAAAAATATATGAACGGTTTTGCTGTAAAATCAACCGTTTAGGTTTTACAGTCTGTCAAAGATACAAAAAAGTCAGTTTTCAACTGTCAATATTTCCGAAACAGTTGAAGATAAATATAGGACATTGTACATAAAATATGTCTAGAATTTTTCGCAGAATCAAAAAATGTCATAATATACAGGGGTTACTATTTGAAAAAATAAAGTTGATAATCGTACAGCTGTTCTTGAAACACTCTGTATAAAAAAAATGTACCTATGTGAAAAAATCTTAAGCAAAAAATCTTGATCGACGTGTTTTTGCGTTTTGTCCACATATTTTATCCGAAGGCTCTTACGAATTAGTTCCAGTTAAAGTCTCCACCCTGTATATGTTATGTGTTTATTTTAATGGCATGCAGATGTAATTAATATATATGTTATATTATAATTTTCTGTATTATTCCTGATTTCTGACAATTTTTGTGCCTGTGAGTTTGGAAAAGCAAAGTATGTATAATGGAAGTCGAAAAGAGAATGCGAAGAATGTAATGCCCAAGGTTCCTAAATATTAATTGCTTATAATAGGTTGTTTGGTAAGGGCAAACAGATGACGTCATCGGGTGGTTCCTAATGGAGGTTTGCATTGTGCTTAGGCATACAGTCATAATTAAAGTTATCAGGCAACCTATCTCTCTCTAGCAACCTTGTGGGATGCCTAAATCACAAAGTTCCAAAGCCACTGCATGTCTTCTATTGAATCACTGTAAACCGAAGATCTACAGACCAGTTATCCAGGGTTGGGAACGGAACACTCTCCAAAATGGATAGGTGATTTATGGCCGTTTGCACCGACCATTTTAAGGAAACAGAGACTTATTGGACGTGCAATAAGGACAAGCAGTATTTAAATTAGCCTTATTTTGACATCTACGCATGCGCATTTGGGTCCGAAAATAAGGATTTCCTTAATAAGGTTACTTGTCTTTATTTTTGTATGGTTATGAGTATCAGCAGAAAATTAAAAACAAAAATAAACACATTTTGAGGCTAAAATTTATAAACTTAGCTATCATCTGTCAAAATTATGAATACACAAGGTAATACTCTAGCATCTACTACAATCTTCCAATAACTGTTTTTTTCTTGGAAAAATAGTGCTGATGCACTAATAAAATAACGTAGATCCTTAATACTGCGAGGCAGTATTTATTAGTTCCAATAACTCTCTATTAGCGATAAGTATTCCTTAAAATGACATTTCTACATGGATAAAGTGACTTTAAGGAATACTTATCGCTAAAGCCTAGTACTCATAACTGCAGTGTTGCCAATGTGGTAAAGTCAGATTGCCCGAGTTTCTAGTTGAAATTACCAGATCTTTACCCGCGTTTGCAGTGGTTTTGCCAGGTTTTGTGGCCCAGAAAGGGACATATTCGAAAACAGCGCTAAAGTTTCAGGTAGGTATCTTAGGTTTTTTTTTTAAGGGTAGGTATAGAAGAGAAAAAGATGAAGAGACACTATACACTCATGCTTTGCGCTATGCTAATCGATGATGCTAATAGGATGCTCATTTGTACTTGCTCTACCTGCTCGAAAAATCAGGAAGAACTGCTAGGAGCAGCTATGTATGAGCTTGTATGGAACAAGGAACAAGTTAAAGCTGATCTGCTACTGAGATCTGCTTGAAACAAGAAAAGCAGTACAAATGAACACCCTATAAAGTTGCAAAGCCGGAAGCAAGGCAAAGGTAATTTTTCACAGTATACGGAGCAGGTGGCAGAAAACTAGGAAACAATGTATATATACTCCTGGACAAAATTATCGCACCACTGCTTATGGTGGTGCTTATGTGCAGTGCAGTGGTACGATAATTTTGTCCAGGAGTATATTTTAATTATTATTTTAAAGGCTTTTTTTAGTTTTTCCAACCATTTTCTACCATACTAGGGACTATTAGGTATATTTATTATTATTATATATATATTTATAAAATGTTAGAAAATTACTGTTTTCAGTCAAATTACCCGCATATTGGCAACACTGCATAACTGCGAAATTCGCATTTTTTTGACATTGCTTCGACAATTTGACGTTTGATTCATGCATATAACGTCAAATTGTCTAAGTAATGTCAAAAAAGTGCGAATTTCGCAGTTATGAGTACTAGGCTTAAGGCTCCCTCAAAATGGTCGGTGCAAACGGCCATTATACATTAGTCTGCGTTCCAAGTCCCAACTGCTACCAGTGCAACCGGAGCTCGGTTCGGATTGGCAGCTCCTTTTACTTTTTCAACACTTTCAGCTCTTAAAGTAGGGATGCCACCTTTGAAAGTAAGTTGAACCGGAGAAAAAAAAACATTATTGAAAGAGAGCTGAAAAAGAAAATTTGCAGATTTAGATGCATTACACATTACCATCTGTCTATATGTATAGTACAGGGTGTCCTACGGTGGATGGCGTATTAGACGTTAATGGAAAGCTAAAAAACAGATCATTTTGAAAATTTGGCAACCGAGATAAACGACTATAATCTACACTTTGAAAATATTTGTGTTTATGCGGTGTTGCCGCTTCTACTCTAAACCAGTGGCAACATCGCTATTTTAAACGGAACACCCTGTTTGTGATTGCATATTTGGATTCTACGTAAAATTCTGAGCAGATTTCATGTGATATACCCTATACCTAAGTTCAACTGTTTTGGAAATATTGACAGTTGAAAATTGACTTTTTGCAACTTTGACAGGCTGTAAAACCTGAACGGTTAATTTTAGAGGAAAACCGATTTTACATTCCTATCTTAGATTTTTATAAACTATCAT